ACAACTAGCTAGCGTCTACTTTGTAACTCCTTGAGTTTGACTATTAAATGAGTATATAATAGATGGACCACTGCGGTGTTCATTCAACCTTCCCAAGTCTTATTGTCACGTGACAGTGTGTTCGTGGCACGCTCGCATTGAAGTTTGAAGTGGCGAAGTGACTCAGTGCATTTTTGAAGTGGTGAAGTAACTCAGTGCATTGGTAATTGACGGAATATATATGATTGTATTATTCAATAGCTAATTACGCTGAATATACAAAGATAAGAGGTAACAAAAAATGAGGCAACAAAAAATGAGGCAACAAAAAATGCGGAGTCCATTGGTCCACTGAAGAGTTGCAAAATGTAATGCGACATCATACCTTTTGTTTCCTGTTTGAAAATGTAAGTAACCAGGCGACACAGATGGAAGTAGTAGGACCTTACTTCTGTTTGCGACTGGACGTACTAGGTTCCCGTGCCGTGGCATGCTTCCCGGAAACAGTCAGTGCATTTTCGCCAATGCTATTAGCGGCAGCATTGCGCTTGGAGGGAATGGACACCCGACCAGTCCTACGGCGATGACAATGTTCGTTGCCATCAGGGGAGGGTTCAACACCACTGGTAGACAGCGCATTTGACTGGTGCGGTAAGGGTTGCGTTGTTGTCTTGGCGATGACTGGTGTGTTGGAAGGGAGTCCAGGTAAAGTGGAAATGGGAGGGGGTGAGGGCTGTAATCGTGGCTCCATAGGACTCGCTGGCTGAGAATCATGGTGCGGGAACTGCGCAGCCTGTACTGGAACCTCTGGAGATGCAGGGAGTGGGAACTGCGCAGCCTGTACTGGAACCTCTGGAGATGCAGGGACCATATGGGATGAGGTAGCAGGGGATGTGTGACATATGGTGTGCGGGATATGCGGCAGCGGCGCTGGAACATCGGGTGATTGTGGGGTTGGGGAAGATGTAGACTCTGCATGTGGGTAAGGAGGCAAGTGCGGCAAGGCCGGATTGTCACCACCTGACACCTCAAATGCTGCGACCTTGGCAGCAAGATCGGTCCAAAAAGTGTCGTCGAGATTCCAATCGCCAGTCAAGTTTTCAGAAAAATCAAGTGAGCTCTGTTGAGCTGAATCAAACGGCAGGTTGGTGTCTGGACCACTAGTAGTACTGCCGGACGTATTGGAAAAAGTCTGACCTGATTTGTCAGCATCCTTCATTCCGCTTAATGCCGAGTGATTGCCATCAGATGATATATCCGATCGTCGTTGGGACACATCCTCCAGACCCCTTCCTATCTCAATCTCATTCCACAACAACACAGGACTCTCGTTCAACGATGCGGGACCCTCAAGCTCGTTCAACGATGTGGGACCCTCGTTCAATGACGCGGGACTCCCTAGGTGTGCCCTTGAATCCACCAGATCGGCTGTTATGAATGAGTAAGTCAATAGTTTTTTCAGTGCCATGCAACTCACGATATACTCGATACAGATGGTCTCTGAATGGAGACATGATACCTGTTTCAAACTCAGGGTATGCCTTGCTGAAGTCATTTCCGAACTTGGTGTGACCCACGTGGAAACTTTGATTGAGGTCAGTGTTTAACTCTATTTCATAAGTACTAATGCACATGCCTATAGACGTCAATTGAGCCGCTGGACTCTGGAGAAGGGCCACCCGCCAGGAGGGAGAATGTGAACCCAGTGGCTTCCGCTAGCCCCTTGAGGAACTTGTTAGCAATAGCGGCAAGTTTTTCTATATTTCTATGCGGTCTCATAAGCTGATACACATCATAGTCGATAGGCTGTAAATTCTATTACCTTGCATAATCATCTTCGCTCCACGTTCCCGCCTCATTGTCCTTCTGCGTCCGAGTCTTCTGATTCTCGATGTATCTCTGTACCTCCGCCTTAACCTCATCAGTCTCTCCGCTATAGAGGCTTGCTGTGTGCTGCTTCACGATGGCGATACGCTTTCCATTCGTAAGTGTCTTGTTTTCTGCTTGCAGTAATTCTGCTTCAGCTTTCAGTACTTCGTCAGCTGTTGCCTTGATACGCGTATGGTAATAGAGCTTGGAATATGCCTCCACTTCCTGAAGGGAACGTGTTGGCTTCTCGGATTCGGCGACACTCCGCAATACGACTTTGAAGACATCTGTAGCATCGGCCTTTGCTTGCCGTCCTGCTTTCGTTGTACCAAGACTATTTTTGAAGCGGTTTCTTAATTTCTAAGTCCCATTTGTGAATTCAAAGTGAGCGTTCACAATTAACACATACCTCTTTTCGCTCATCACAAGCCTTATGCATCACAAGCATCTCATCTTGGGTCAATGGTCCAACAGGGGGTAAACTAGCCGGCCTTTGCTCTGGGTATGCAATGAACCACGTCTCGTTCAAGTCGGCGAAAAAGTTCGGCCAGTTTTTATTTTTTTCAGTTTGCTTTGCGCGGTACTTGTCATACCAAGGAGCTAACCATTCATCCTGTTCAGGAGAAGTCCATTTCCGGGGAGCCATAATCTATATCATTATTCGTTATCAACAAGTACCGCCTTCTGGAAAAACAATTCACGTACGTACCGTTATGGCGCTTATATGCGTGTGAGGGGGGAAATTAATTAGCAAACTCTCGAAGAAGTTTAGCCTGCTATTGTGGCAGTATCTCACGCACAGACCCACATAGCGAGTACAATCTTTTACTGTTCAATTACATTAACTACCTACTTAGTGTCCCAGAGCGTCTGGAATATAAATTTTTTGTCTGCATATCGCTGGTGAAGATCCATCCCCGACACCAATGCGCAACAAAAAACATCTTCCACAGCACGAATCACTTCCTTTGCCTCCTTGGATGCATCAGATGCCTTAAGAAATTTTGGGCTCATGCCCTCGCGTCCTAATATATGCTGTTCTGTATCGTGCAACTCCTCGACAATCACCTCTAACGCAGATAGTGTCCCTCGAAGCCCATCTAAGTCACCAGTCTCGAGGTGGTTGCGTACTAGAGCATCTATCACCTGTGCAGGTGGTCCATCTAAGTACCTTGATAAGCGATCCCTTTTGTTGCTGTATAATTGAATATTCGATCGTGGCAAGGGAATGAAATTAGATCAAAACTCACGCGGACTTTGTTTTCTGGTGGCAGTGAACATGCTGTGAGCCCTGATTGTCGTAAGGATCGATCATATGATGGTTGATATCACTATGAATGACCTCTGAGATATGTGGGTGAATAGATATCAACATAAAACATACCCGTTAACCTTTTTTGAGGGGAAGACTGGGGCAGCTCGTGCTTCTTGGTTTTCCCGATATTTCACTTTGAGTCTCGCACTGATTGCAGCTTTGTTCCTGGCTGAAAGTGAGTAACATATATTAATAAAAAGACGAGTGTTGTGGATTGACCTTGCATAGTGTGTCCGTCGGTGCATCCGTTTGGCCTCTTGACGTTCTTCTGGAGTGTTATAGAGTTTGGGCCGACCCATGATTCAAGGTTGTAAGTGGCTAAGAATCACGTAGTACATTTGGTTCATACCTTGTTGGACTTTTATAGGGCTTTTACTGGCTATATTGCTAACACCAAAATTCTCAACTCAAAGCTTGAATTTAAATGTGGGATCACAGCGTGCACGGTCTTTGCATGGTGGATTGCCTTGCTTCAAACTACATAGACCAAGATATATAGGTAATGTAACGATTTACAATCATAATAGGTTTAGGTCAGGGAATTGAAATTCGACGCAACGTCCATCAGTGGTCCCACAACAGCCTGAGCAACCATACATTTTACGAGCACGTTTTGGACGAATTGACGCCCACAACATCCAGCTTCTTAGTTCCTATCTGATGGTCAATCATCCACCGCAATCATTGAATGAACTATTGACTGACTTGTTTCCTTGCCTTTTCAGCTGCAAAAAGTTCCTTCTCTTCACTTTCAGTCAATGCATCCTCAGCTGGACGTTCAGGCCATAGCAAAGCCTGCTCAGGCCATTTCAGCAGCCATTCATCATTCAACCGTGCCCAGAAGACAGGTTCCTTGATGCGTGAAAGTCGCAGTGTGTATTCGGTTAAGCGTGGCATCAACCACGTGTGTTGCTCTTGCGTCGGTTGCCAATCTGACATCTGGGTTAAGTCCAACGTGAGCTCTAGCTCAAATGATATCTCATGATCCATACCTTTTCAGAGACTCGGAGTTGGAGTATAACAGGATTGTGCCGAAGGGACCGGCGAGAAGTTGTGCAGTTGGATCATTTGAGAGGTGCGTTCATTGTCCATTTTGATACATCGTTGAGTTTGGTTCTGTCCGCTTGGATACATCATGAATGAGCTCACTGTTCATGGTGGCTCAACAACGTTTGGCTTGATAGTTGGAGTGTGCCGTGACTGATGGCTGGTCGTCCCAGCAAAAAACCTCGCCTAGTGCGACATGTGCTTTCAGATCCCACTGGCGCATCTTCATGCAACGTCCAACGCCACAGAATATATGCTGTTGATCCCACTGGGCAGATCAATCTACGGACAACATATCTTGATGGGACACCAGCTGGCGCTACCCCAGAACTCGAGCTTGGCGTCAACACTGACCTCTTTGAGGATCCTTGGAACGAGTCTCAGAACGACACTTCATTCCTTGATACAGAGCCTTACAACATCACAGGTTCAAAAGAAATACAACAGCGGACAGTTGGAGTAAGCTTGGATGTTGAAAATCTAGACTGAGAGCTGACCTTGATTTTTTCAGAAGGATGACCCCATTCGTATTTGGATCTCTGAACGTCAAACTTATCTTGATGAATTCATCCGCTTGGAAGGACGTGGTGACACATGTCACTCGTGCCATAGCTGTGGCAATTCGAATGCAGTATTTCGTTGCGAAGACTGCTTTTCTGTCGCATTATACTGCCAGTCATGTGTTATGAACCTCCACCAGAACATGCCCCTGCATCGGCTGAAGGTATGTTTTTTTTATGGATATCAGTGCTTTCCACTAACGCCATTGATTCAGAAATGGCATGACGGGTATTTCCATCCAACGACCTTGAAGCAACTGGGGCTCCGCATACAACTGGGTCACAGCGCTGGTCAGCGCTGCCGCAAACCAAAACCAGCCTTTGACGATGATTTTACCGTCATTGATGTTCACGGAATCCATGAAGTCGCTCTTGACTTCTGTAATTGTGAGTATGCATCCTCACACTACAAACAGATCCTGCGCGCTCGCTGGTTCCCAGCAACATCCACAGACCCACGAACAGCTGCGACATTTACTGTTCTCGAACACTTCCACTTGCTCTCGTTTGAGTCCAAGGTATCTGCATTCGAGTTTTACCACTGCGTTGCACGTCGGAGTGACAACACAGGCGTCAAGCCTATCAAGGTGACTTGTACTCTATACACTGTATCCTGATTGATTTACCTCTGATCATTGAAATTCATAGGATCGATATTCTGTCTTTTTGCGAATGATGGCGGAGTGGCGCAACCTCAAGGCACTAAAACGGGCAGGTCGTGGGCATGACCCAGCTGGAGTTAGCGCTACCAAAGAAGGAGAAATTGTGGTTCTGTGCCCCGCTTGCCCTCACCCTGGTAAAAATGTGCCTGAGACATTAGAGGACGTCTCACCTGGGAACCGGTAAGATTTTACCGTCTCTCCTCCCTATTTTCAGCTGTGATCTGAACACATTCTACAGATGGATCTACTCACTCTTTTTGGCTATAGACGCCAACTTTCGTCTGAAACGCAGACTGGTATCCAGCGATGACAGGGACCCTGGATTGAGCCAGGGGTGGGGTTACTTCGTCAAAGAAAGTAACTACAAGGCGTACCTTCGAGAAAATGCAAGTCTAGCACAAGAGGTGAGTTGAATGATTATTGCTTACAGCCATTGCTGATTTAAATGCCTTAGAAAAGTAATTGTGTTAGCCATAACGCGGTCAATATGGCGGACACGAAATCTTCCAAGGGACTCGCAGCAACGGGTGTCGGCACTGTGGTTTGCGCTAGGCATGACATGCGGTTAGCAAATGGTGTCGGGGATCTTCAGAAAGGGGAAAAGTGAGTACTCATGTCACTGGCAGAACATTATCGGGTTTTGATTTGATTTTGGCAGATACTTGAATATGGATTATATAGTCTTCTCCGCACTTTCACGCTTTTCATCAATCCCATCTGTCAATTTCTCCTACGATATCGCATGTCAGTGGCACAAAAAGCTTTGGCATCGTGTGTCGACTGCTCTTCCCTTACGGCTTCATCCCAGTAGCACTCAACAATACAGGTTTTTCGTTCCAAAATTCCATCTCGCAGCACACATTGCCGCCTGTCAGACGACTTTTTCATTCAATTGGTCTCCTTACGTTGGACGGACTGATGGAGAAGCGCCGGAGCGCGGTTGGGCTGACATAAACCGTGTTGCTGCAAGCACAAAGGAGATGGCACCTGGTACACGTCGAGATGTCTTAGACGACCATTTTGGGGACTGGAATTGGAAAAAAGTGACAGGTCTTGGTAAGTCTTGAGTTTTAAATGTTTATCCAGCGAATTGATTACTTTACAAGGTCGAACACTACTACGTAAAATAACAGATGCTACACATGCTGAACGGGACCATCGCCATGCCTTGGCGGACTTGGAGGGATCCATCAAAGAGTCAGAGTTGGGCGCTGTGTCACTCGTGGCATGGACTGAAGAAGTCGTCGCTTGGGAGAGCGATCATACGAAACCCAACCCCTTCAACAGTCAAAGTCAAGGTAAGTTCAAAATTTTAGAGTGTGATTGATGACTGACTGAAATACCAGAAATGACCCAAGCCGCTGTTCGTTTAGCGCTCATTCAACAAGACGCAAAAGATTTGGAAGAAGGATCGTCAATTTCCCTCCATTCAGAGGTGACGCCTAGTATCCTCATTAGCACAGGCTTGGACCTTGAGAATGCGCAGTAAGTGATAGATTGACTGCTATATACTTCCTACTTATTCCTTTGTAGACGACGTTTACGGGTAGATAATGCAGGTCTCACCCAACATTCAACCAACAATCAGCAAACGAAGATTCTGATGCGCAGAAATGCTCTCCAACGCCGCATTGATTCATGGATTGACATACAGGTCCTGTACATGCCCTCCGTCGCTCACTTCCATGCCACTGGTCTCTCTCTGTCTGACGAGGGCACCGTTGATGAAACCACCGGCTGTCCAAAAGCCAAACTCAACTCTATCAAAGCCGAGGATATCCCACTATTTCTTCCATCTTCCATCTGTAATCTGACAACGTGCGACACAAAATTGCTCGAGGTTGAGTGGTCGTTACGCTTGGCGCAGGCTAACGATGCGCTCGAAGAATGCCGCTCTCACATCCGTCTCCGCCACCAGCTTCTACGCTTCAAGGCACAACAAATTCGCGGACAAAGTCTTAACACTCGTGCCCAAAAGACCATTCAAGCGGTTGAGGATCGGCTCATTCTTAGTCATGAGAAGTATTCTTGTGCTCGGCGAGCTCTCACTCATCTGTCAAGGCAACTAGGCCATGTAGGCTGGGAGCACAAATTGCAGCCATTGAGGAAGTCTGACCTTCGGCCAATGGGGGACCTTGGAGGTCGCACTCAAGGCACAGCGATCATGTCATGGATTTGGCATGTACACGGAATTCCTTCGGACAACGGTGACAGGTTTCAGGATTGTAGGTCATCAGTGATTACTTCTATTTTTATCGCTTACCGCACGTCTAGCGCTACACATTGAGTGGTGCAAAACGAGGGCCAGACGCAACCGGTGGTTTGAAGAAATCCAACTGCTCTTGGAGGAGATGCGGCGCGTCTTGGAGTTTCTCGATTGGCAGGCTAAGTGGTGGGAAGCACGGGTCACACTGCGTGTGGCTGAGCAGTCTGAGGACAACGAGGGCTTGGTGGCGTACGCAAAACGCCAGGCTGCCATCCGTCGATCCCTGTCTGCAAAATTCAGGGCATCGTGGCACCATGTGACCGCTTTGGTAAGCGAAAATCTGGACGATACAGAGGCTAATGCACCGGCAGAAGAAGGTCCTTCTATTGATGCACCCCCGCATGGAGATCTCGATGACTTAGACTAATTAGCACGACTTTGCTCCTGTACCTTGATGTGAAATAAAACTTGTTTGATCCGAACGGCAGCTAGATTCGTTCGATGTGACTGCTTGGTGACTGCTTGCTATATTAGACACAAGGATACTTAAGCTACACGGATGTATCACTGAGCGGACAACTATGTCAGGCGATGTATCCCTATTTTAGGCCTATAGGCCAAAGGGATACATCCATACCCCACCATCAGGTGCTGGTATTTTGCTTGGCGGACCGCAATGCAATTATCTAACATCAACTTCGTTTAGAACCTTCCCGCTTCAAGGTTAAATGCAGGATCCGGCGGCTACGGTACGCAATACTCCACCCGAAATTCGAACCTGCGCCTGAATCATCGGGCGAGGTTTTTATTCAGTGTGAACTCCTCGACCAACGAACTAGTTACCAATCTCTATTTTTCAGGGGATGCGCGCAAGAGCGGGCCCGCAACACCGAACAGGGCGTATGCTATTGCGGAACAGGATTCGAAGGTCATCCCAAAGACTTATTCCACCTGTGCCGTGGTACGCCTTTGTTTTGATATTGATAATGTGTTGTTCACAGTGGACATTCCTGCTTCCGTCGCGCTAGACCAAGGTGAAGGCTTTTTTATCGCCGCAAAATACGTCCTAATGTTCCTCATCATTACTTACCAATATAGTGCGTTCATTCCTAGCACAAATCCCCCCCGGCAATGAATGACATGTTGTGCTTTAGTGATCTTCACCCCGAAGGAGAATCTCGATGTATATAAACATGCAGCGGCCTTATCTACTGACTAACGATGCTTACTGCCTAACTTCGCTAGATATGTCGGATATTAATGGGTATTTCCTCATGTGCATGCACAGTACATGCTGCACGGACGTCCTTGTTGAGCGCTACTATTTCCATTCACAGGTATGTATCAATCACTTGCTCTGAACGTATCTCTCCTCCCCCGCGACATATACGTGCTTCTGATCCAATTCATTTAGGATTTTTTGTCTTCAGAACGTATGCGCTCTGGAACAATATAACAATACTCGTAGCCATGCTTTCCACCCTTTTTGTGAGTTCCGTATTCTCACCAGATCTTCCACACACCCAGTACGCATACCAGTCCTGTGAAGAGCATGCGCCTCCGAATTCTGCTGCAACCTCCTACTAACGACACCAACAAACACACTTACAGGTTTCAGGTCTTTACTTGCTATCTTCGCCACGCCCATTCATCTCTATCTCTGGCATATTGAACGGGGCGTACATGGCGGCTCTGAAGCCCTCGTGATTTCTCTGTCTGATATATCACCTGCAGACCATGCAGTGTGACGTCTTGTCGCGCCGCTGTGAGGAAAGCTCTGTGATTAGCGTTGAACGCCCGCAGCATCGAGGACTTCGAGGACTGCGACTTATAAGTTCGCATGTACTTCTTGTATAGCCATTGAAATCAATTCCTCTCAGTGATCGCCCGCTACCGCATCAGGAAAACCACTGGTCCCTTTTTCCCGCTTATGTTACTTTTTATTAATAAATCCAACTGAAAACACTGCTTTTCCGACTTAATTGACTTTTGCAAAAGCACATTAAGACACACTTAAGCTCACAAGTCCAGACCACCAAAAAAAGCGAGAAAAGTTGTATTTACGCAATAAGTAATAAAAGGTAGTAGTACTCTAGTAGTACTAAGTCACCCGTGCTCCTCGCCGTTAATCCGAGTCGCGGTTCGAACGTTGGCCATTGCATGTCGACGTTTCCGTGGAAGAGGTAGGTCCATCAAGGCCAGCGCTAAAAGCGCTGACCTCACCTTGAACGATGTGTTCAACCGATTCCTTTTCGCAAGTAGACCCAGGATGCACCTTCTCCTGCGTGACCAGCTCTGGGACCTTGGTGCGGATAGCTTCCAGGTAACAAAGCGCTGTCTGCAGAACGCTGCCTGATGCACAAGAGCGACGAAGAACCTCGTGGACAAACCCTTTCATTGGCGCAGTGTTGTAGTCGTCGTTTGTCGAACTCGTAATTCGTTACAGTTGAGGTGTTGATGGTTGAACTGTAAGGCCTCCAGCAGATTCATACGAGCAGGGAAATATATTGCTGCAGAAGGTCGCATGCGGTGTTGTTGACACATCGTCTTGATCGGTGCTTGAGGCGAATGTGACACGTCCATCACACATGTGACGTGTTGACGTGTCTGGTTAAATTTTACCTTAGCAAATTACAAGCAGACCAAGCAGACTGCTCAGGTCCTCCACCATGGTGTTGTTCGTTTGGCTGTGACTTCGTTCCTTCAGTTATCGGTATCATTGTCTAGTACTGTGTGTGAGTGGACTTTAACGCTCTCCTCATCACTCACCAACCCCAACCAGGCTCCAGCTCAGCAGAACAACAACGCCCCAGCAAACAACGTGCAAGAAGAGGGCTGGCTCGAGGTGGGCAAGTGTAACCGCACCGTCCTGACACGCTCCGTAAGTTCCCCCCTTCCTCAATCCAATTCCATACTCACCAATCCTCAGACAAAGACAACCGACTCCCCCATAACACGCATCTTCGGCGGCAAATTCCGCTCCACTCTCCGTGTACCGCATCAAAAAGACTCTGTCGTTTTCGAAGACTGGCGTAGTCTGCGGTTAGACATCCAAGTTCGTCATTTCCTCAAATACCAAGCCCGCCACTAACCACATTGTTGACACAGCGCGACACAATCCACACAATCAAAGATGCCCTCACGCACATCTCTATACCTCAATCCGTGCAAGTCACCTCCGTAACACGCCCAGGGGCAACCCTCGACGCAACCCAACAAGTCCACATCGACTCCCTCCCTCCGATCCTCATCCTCGCGCTCGTGCTGCTGCCGACGGCAACAGTGAACTGTCTGCAGGGGCACTCGCATTCTGTTGCTTTTGTCAACGAAGTAACAACCATGTACCGTCACATGGACACTTCGCATTGGGTAAGCATTTCTGATGCTTACAGCGAGTGACGTGCAGGACTAACTTTTTTTCATTTGTAGAATGAATACATCCAATGAGCCATCTTCCTCGCCCCTTCAACCCATATTGTCTCCTCCTCACACATCACAAGTTCCTCGGCCCACGCATGACCTACACCTCTGGCGTCATCTTAGACGCTAACAAAGGCACCTCCCTCGAGAACTCCAAGGTAACAAACTCCATCTCTTTTGCTCAAAATCTCGCTGACATCTAGCGCTGCTGCAGGATTTATCTATGAGTCGTTACTATACCATTGCTGCTATCCTAGTACAGTAGATTTCCATCCTTAATTTACACTTATTTTGCTTTATTGTATGCCGGGGCCCTTTTCAATGACAGGCTTGTGCTGCTTTTTCTCCTTTTTTAAGTGAAATAAGTGTGAAAAAAGCGAAAATCCAGAAATGGAGTGGGCTTTTTTAAGTCGCTCACGCTTTTCTCTCAAATGACTTATCATTCGCTTTTCATTAAATAAGTGACAAAAAAAGTGATATAAGTAAGTTGTTGTTTTCCTGATGCGTTTGTCCAAAAGGTTCTCTCTACGTGTTTCCCAATTTCACCGTTCAGAATCGCATCAAGAAGTCTTAGTCTCGCTATGATCTTCTTTCCTCAACTTTTATCCTTAGATTCACCATCGAACTGGTTTTCGAGCTCTGTTATGCCATGTAAGTATTGTGCCCTGGTAGTCGAACGCGTTTATTACTTTCCAGCCTTGGTTCATGCCTACCACTATATCTCAGACTCCGCCAGAGTGGCTGAGGACTCACTGCTAGGAGAGGTCCTTAGGAATATCCGACACCGCATGTATTCTGTCCGTATATACGTCGACGGCGGACGCAGCGGGCCGAATGTGTTTTGAACGTGTCACATGTGTTGCATGTGACAGGCGTGTTTGTGACAGAGTCGCGTCAGTGCCACTTAGACTCGACTTAGGGTAAGCAACTGCCAGTAAGACCAATATTTTGAGTTGGCTTGGTCAAGATGCCTCTCATCCGCATAGAAGTGAGCGATTTCAAGTCGTATCGGTACGCTCATATAATACCCTGCCAAAAACTAATACATATATCTAATCACCGGCTCTACTCATTCCTTTCCAGGGGCCACCAAGTCATCGGACCCTTCAAGAATTTCACCTCCGTTATCGGCCCTAATGGCGCTGGAAAATCAAATCTTATGGATGCAATCTCTTTTGTGCTTGGTGTTAAGAGTGCGCAGCTGCGCAGTAGCCAACTGAAAGATCTTGTCTACCGCGGGCGCCGGCTCGCTAAAGGCCCCTTGGATGGTTCTGAGGCCACACAAGATCAGGAGGACGATGATAATAGCGATGGCGAGGGTGAGGGTGAAGGGACTGCGAAGAAAGCATGGGTGCTTGCAGTGTTCCAGGATGAAAAGAGAAAGGAATGGTTATTCCAACGAACGTGTGTGCTACCTAGTCTCACTTACCTGGGACTTCTAATTATGTTTATTTGTCATGCAGAATATCAACCACTGGAGCGTCTGAATACCGTCTCAACAACAAAGTTGTCACCTACACCGCGTACAATGCCGCCCTGACATCCCACAACATCCTCGTCAAAGCCAAGAACTTCCTCGTCTTCCAGGGTGATGTCGAAGCTGTTGCGTCTCAGTCCCCAAGAGAGCTTTCCCGCCTCATAGAACAGATTTCAGGTTCTCTTGAGCTTTCACAGGAATATGAGAAAGCGAAGGAAGCCCAAGAACGCGCAACAGAGAACGCAACCTTCAACTTCACGAAGAGGAGAGGCATCGCAGGCGAAATAAAACAGTATAAGGAACAAAAGGGCGAGGCAGAACGATTTGAGAGCTTGTGTGATCAAAAAGTGCGCCCGTGTTTTACCATTCGTTTCAATAAAATGCTTATGCGTTCCCAGGATGATCTTATCCTGAAACGTATTCTTTACAAGCTTTTCCACATCGAAGAGGCACTCGAAGCGAATGCCCGCGACATTCAAACAAAATCTAAAGCCCTCGCTGGCCTCCGTACAGAACATGGAGAACACGAGAAGTCTCTTGAGGATGCACGTGCAGAGCAAGCAAGGGCCCGCACAGCAGTCGTACGAGAGGATAAGAAAGTCAAGAAGGCCGAAAAGGCATTGGAAGCCAAGGTCGGCTGATTTTTCTATTCAACGCTTAACCAACTTTAACGGGTAGCAGGAACCTGAGCTAGTGGAGGTGGACGCCCAGATCAAGCACTCATCCCGAAAGCTGCAAAATTCCCAGAAGATGCAGGAACAAGTTGGTAATGATGCTGAACGTCAGCAGGCTAAGCTCCACTCACTCACGCGTGACCTTGTCAATGCTAGGCAGGCAGCAGACGAGGCAGCAGGTGAGCCATCTGTAGACTCATCGTATTCTTTGGCTTCTACTTTTTGTATGCAGAGGCCCACAGACGTGCATCTCAACAGAATACTTCCCTCAGCGAAAACAGTCTAGCCGAATATCGCTCACTGTGAGTCCCGACGTTAGCATATGTTTCGTAGTGTTAACGCTATAAACAGAAAAGCATCTGCTAGCGTCCTTGCAGTTTCTGAGCGTCAAGCTCTAGAGACGCTCAGCCGAGACGAGAAGACTGCCTCCCGGACACTTACACAAGTGAGAGCCAAACATGAAGAGTTGGAACGTAGCTCGGAAAGACTGCGTGGCGACGAGGAAACCCAGCAAGCCAACAAGTCCGAGGTAAGCGTCTTTCCGAGTTCAGTGTATCCTAGCTGATTATTATATTCATAAAGCTGGAGCAAAAGCTCGCTTCCCTCCAGGGCGATCATGCGCGCTCAAAGCAAGAGTACGAAAACCAGCAGAGTGAGCGGACGAGGATAAGGTATTTCTTTCTTCTCCAAGCGCTTATTACGCATTATTTCATTGTTATCCCGCAGCCGTCTTGAGACCGAGACGAACGAAAAGCTCGCAGATGTCTATCAGCGCTTGCTCCAAGCAGGCGTCGACAGGAACGAATCCGAGCGCGAGGCAAAACTCAAGGAAACGCTCGCCAGTTTGCAGCGCATCTTCCCAGGTAAATGCTGCTGCCCTTGTCCCAGAAAGGCACCACTCACAATATGACAGGCGTCCGCGGGCGCGTGGTCGACCTCTGCAAACCCACACAGCGCAAGTACGAGACCGCTGTTTCTGTTATCCTTGGGCGTAATATTGATGCTGTCGTCGTGGACGAAGAAAAAACTGCTATCGAATGCATCGACGTGCGCTTCTTTGCCCTCTGTCATTGTTCATCTAAACCAATTTCAAAATATTGTAGTATATGCGCACCCAGCGCGCCGGCCAAGCTACTTTTCTTCCCCTTGACACGATCAGCACGAAGCCAATCAATGACAAGTTCCGCTCATTCGCCAGAGGCGCGCGTCTCGCGGTCGACGTGATCCAATATGAGTCAGCCGTGGAGCGCGCAATGCTCCATGCATGCGGGAATGCACTTGTGTGTGATACGATGGACGTAGCGAGGTATGTGTGTTGGGAGCGCGGGCAGGAGGTGAAAGGTGGGTTAATTTTCGTTTGCGGGAGTCGGAATGCCCTGCTGAGATTTTGGCAGCTGTTACATTAGAGGGCACTGTCATCCACAAAAGTGGTCTTATTACTGGTGGGCGCAGTACACACGGGGGAGGAAAGAAGTGGGAGGAGAAGGACGTGCAAGGTAAGCAGTTCATGTACCATGGTGCCCGCCCAGCACTCACTTATCTGTAGGCCTTACCCGTCTCCGTGACAATCTCGTGGCGCAGCTTCAGGAACTGAATCGCTCGAAACCAAGAGGCAAGGCGGACGAGAACGTTATCGCTGAAATCACGCGACTAGAGAGTGCTATAACTGTTGTAAGAGACGATCTGGTGCGTTATTGGAATGGTTGTCGGTGGCTTTGCAGCAGTCTTATCGTTCCATCGGCAATATCTAGAGTGCCTGCAGATCCCGGTACACCGGCATCAAAGAGGAGCTAAAGCACGCCGAGCGGGAGCTCAAGAAGCTCTCTCCCGAGCTCAAAAAGGTACGCGCGACTATGTAGTAGACCTAGAGGTGTTTCTGACTGGAATCTCAGGCTCAAGCCTCACACTCGAAACTCTCCTCGCAAATTGCAAAACTCCAATCTGTGATCGACTCGGCTGAAGACGGTATTTTTGCCTCGTTTTGCTCCCAGATCGGTGTCGAGAATGTTCGGGAGTACGAGGAGCGTCAGTTGAAAGTCGCCGAGGAGGAAAGTCAGGCGCGACTTAGATTCGATCAGCAGGTTGCGAGGCTGACGCACCAGTGAGTTTTCTTTTTCGCAGTTTTGAGGCTGAGGGACGGGACTGACGTGTGCGTGCAGGTCTCAGTTTGAAGAGGAGCAGTTGAAGCTGACACAATCGCGTCTGGCGACGCTGCGGAGCGCGGCTGAAGATGAGCAACGGAAAGTAGCGGAGCTGGAAGAAAAGAAACGGACTATTCAGGTTGAGATCACGGAAGCGCAGGAGGGCATCGCACAGCTTCGAGAAACGCTGCAAGGCCTTAATGACGTGCTCGAGGAGAGGAACAAGCATGTCGACCATGCGAAAAAGACACATGCTAAGGCTGCTAAGATACTTGACCAGGCTCTCAAGGAGATTGGTCTGAAGGTACGCCGATTATTTGCTCAGATGCGTTCGGCCGCTTATGATTCATTGATACACTCTCAGAACGACGAGATCGAGAAGCTGGCATTAGAACGATCGGCAACCTACAGGAAATGCAGGCTTGAGGACATCAAGCTATCTCTGCTGGAAGGAAATTTGAAGAACGTTCCAATGGAAGAGGTGAGGCCGTTCATTTGAAATGTTATTCACGCATTAATGTCAATTTCCGCTTAGAACCTTCGAGAGGAGGTAGCGATGGACGTTGATGATGATGATGGTACCCAACGACCACGACAAGTCCATGATTATGGGATTGAAGTTGACTTTGACTCTCTGACTGAGGAGGAGCGTGCGGTACGTGAGCTTTTACGGAAGAGAATCGCGCTTACTTTGATTATAGGACAATTCTCCCGAGACTACTGCTGAGTTCGATGCACAAATTACGAAACTCAACGGAGAGATCGAGCGAATGGCTCCCAACCTGAAGGCTATAGAAAAGTATGTCAACCCCTACTTTGCAATGAGTTGATAGTGATTGTTGGACAGGCTAGACGACGTCGAGGCCAAGCTTGCAGACACAGAGAAAGAAGCTGATAAAGCACGGAAAGACTCGAAAAATGCGCGCGATCAGTTCAACGACGTCAAGCGACAAAGGTGAGCGGACAGTATCAAATCGTACTTTGAGCGTTATACTCATCCCAGCAACCAGATGCGAGTTATTCAACAAGGCGTACAACCACATTTCAGATTGTATCGATCAGGTCTATAAAGACCTCACTAAGGGGAAGGCGTCGCCGATGGGAGGCGTCGCATACCTTAGTTTGGAGGACAGTGAGGTGAGTTTTTGAAACGGCTTGTCAGTCCAGGCAATTTTTACGCTTATTGATCACAGGAACCTTACAATGCCGGCATCAAATACCATGCCATGCCCCCGATGAAGCGATTCCGCGACATGGAACAACTCTCGGGCGGGGAGAAGACCGTGGCCGCTCTGGCTCTCCTTTTCGCTATACACAGGTTTGGTCTTTTTCGTCTTCTTTTCCTAAGACCTTCGATCTCACTATGACTCAAGTTATCAACCTGCACCGTTCTTTGTTCTTGATGAAGTAGATGCTGCTCTGGACAATACCAACGTTGCCAAGATCGCCAACTACATCCGAAGCCAGGCGTCTGACTCCTTCCAGTTCATCGTCATCAGCTTGAAGGGTTCATTGTACGAGCGTGGTAATTCTCTTGTTGGAATATACCGTGATCAAGATGTAAATAGCTCCCGCACGCTGACCTTGGATGTAAGTTCTGGCATCCAAATATATGCTGGATCAAGTACTCACAGACCTACAGCTCACTCAATACGATGAATAGTGGAGCTTTTTATTGCTATTTTGCTATCGTGAGCTGCATGCGTGTTTACCTGTAATTTTTATTGGCTGCATTTGGCCGATTGATAATTTATCCAACGTAACCTTGTAATTTTAGCTGGACTCGGAGGACGATTTCAATGGCCGGAGTCAAGCGTGTTGTGACGTATTGCCGGACCGAAGGTGCATCAGTGAAACCATTCTGACTAGAGCGTTCCAGAGCACTCTAGATCACCTTTGGAATGTAATTCCAAAAGGTGGTAACCCTTTAGTTTCCCCGCTGTGTTAGGGTCAATGTCGTACCATAACGGCATTGACCAGGATATCCGAATGGTCATTTAGCCCAGCCCCACCATGCTGCTACCACAAAGACCGACATCTGCCAAAAATGCCGAAGGTGATCCATACCTCGTCGGCCTCGAGCCAGAGGATAATCCGCAGAACATGCCCTTGTTCAGACGCTGGCTCGCGGTCCTTATCATCAGCTCTGCCTCTCTATGCGTGACTTGCGCTTCTTCGATTGCGAGCCACCTTATCTCTGATTTTGGTTGAGTTCTGATCATGCTCCAGGCTGCGTTCACAGAACAGGGTGCCGCCCAAACGTTCCATGTCCCACATGAAGTAACCATCCTCGGAATTAGCATGTTTGTGACAGGTCTCGGGACCGGTCCTCTCCTCGTTGGCCCGTTGTCCGAAGTGTATGGTACGTCCAGGTTTTGATCCAAAATCATACCTTCAACGAGTTAAGCAGGCCGAAATGCTGTATACGAAATATCTTATGCGTTATTCTTCATCTTCACGTTCCCCGTGGTGTTTGCTCCCAACATTAGTGAGTACATTTACTCCCAGAATGGACGATGGAACTACAACAGAACAACAGCTGTTTTCTTGGTCTTTCGCTTTATCACTGGATTCTGCGGATCAGCATTTTTGAGTGTAGCCGGAGGTAGTGTAAGCGATATGTTTCCGAATTCGAGTATTGCAAAGTAAGCCCTTGGATTTGCGTTTTCTTGGATATTCTGCTGAGTCATTTGCCAAGTCCAATGGCTGTATATACCATGTAGGCTTGCTTGAACAACGCCAGCGGCCAAGTTGTATTTTGAAGTAACTGATCATCTTGGAAGATCTCCATTCATCGGACCAGTGGCTGGTCCCTTGATTGCTGGGTATGTTTGTCACATCCCTTGCACACGCTGTCTCTCATAATACCTAATGACGTAGATTCATCAATCAGGTCAGACTCACTGGCCTGATCCTTGATCCTTGTTTTGACATGCTTTCTGACAGCACCTATACTGGGAATGGACATATCGCGTGCAGTTGTGCTGGATTTTTGTAGAGTTGCTGATGTTGGTTTTAGTGCGTTTGTATTTTTTTGGTGATATGGATTTACTTATGAATTGAATTTAGTTTGTTCCTGAGACGTACGTCCCGGTGATCCTGAAGAAGAAAGCAAGAAGGTAGGAGTACCTCCTTTCTGTTATCTTTGCGTGATAGATCAATCCGCGCGATAGACTGCGGAAGTCGACTGGAGACCCAAAGTTTTACGCTCCTTTGGATAGACGGGAAGGCACCCTTGCTTCTGCTATCCTCCTCAGTTGCTGCAAACCGTTTCGTAAGTCATCAGGAATCGCTTCCACTCCATCCCAAGTAATGATGTCGCACCTTAGAATTACTTCTATTCGACCGAATGACACTGCTTCTAGACATTTGGTAAGGGCAATGCGACTCATTAACACTTGATGAAAGTCCTGATCATTCCAGGAATGCCCTTATTCTTGGAATCCTATACCTGGCATTCCAGGCATTTCCCATCATTTTTGAGGATGTCCATGGATTTAATATGCAAATGACTGGGCTAACGTTCATTGGGATCGGACTCGGAATGGTTTCGGCCATTTCCACACAGCCATTTTGGAACAGGGAGGTACCTTTTTCTCTCGGCGTTCAGCATTAATACTAATAACATCTGTTACAGACTGTTTGCCCGCGAAGCTGCTAAATATAACGGTGATCCACCTCCTGAGACGAGGCTTATTATGGGTCAAGTAGGAGGTATACTAGTGCCAGTGGGTCAGTAAAAAGTGGTTCTTGATCGCCTAATGCTTACCATGCCTGCAGGTTTATTCTGCCTCGCATTCACAACATATCCGCAAGTTCACTGGATTGCCCCAATCATTGTGTCTGTACTTTTCGGCTCCGGGATATATTTTGTATTTACATCAACGTTCACGTACCTTGTCACTGCATACCGCCCAATTGCTGCGTCTGCTATGGCAAGCAATAGTGCATTGCGGCTAGCGTTTGCCGCTGCATTTCCGCTATTCGCGGGAGCCATGTATAATAGACTGGGTACTGTTGGCGCCACCGCTCTTCTGGCCGGCCTCGCAACAATCATGGCGCCATTACCGTGAGTCAAACAAACAGCAAGTGATAAGCAATATTGACCCTCGTTTTCTGATTCTCAGTTTCGTATTACACCGAATTGGCGCACGACTGCGCAAGAAATCGCCTTTTGCAGCATATTGATATTCTTATTCATATGTCCTATACATGTTGTCATCTAGAACTTCAGCGAAAGAAAACCACATTTATATGAGCTCACCTCGCACATCATTAATACCTTGAAAAGTCCCAATCGTAATCCATCTTGTTGATCGTCGCAATTCACAGAAATTTTGCAATCCAGACTGCAACTTGCGAGACACAATGTAACGACCTCCCATGTAGTGGCGAGAATCAATTTTATGGAAACCAGAAGTCGGCCATCTCCCCCGAAGCCAAATGAGCACTGATAGATGCCAGACAAGATGTGCTCCTCTGGCATTAGTCAATGAGCCTGATGCACTTGAAACTTTCATATATAACTAAAGCTTACACGATGAAACATGACTCGTTACTATTACGCGGACCACCACACCCGACAATGCTGAGAGCCAGGCGGGTGACAACGAGAAATATTAGAACTTTTCGGGATCACTGATACATGGCGTGTAACCGAGTGGTCACGACGACGTACGTGATGTTTCAGTCAGGCCAATGTATTGCACCAGGCTTACTGGCTAGTACTGCAGTTACGATGAAGCTCGTCCATTCTAGTGCGACGTACATAATCCAACCTGACAAATACAGGGAGTGATTAATTTCGGGGGATCACACTATGAAACAAACCCACAGCCGTGACTGTCATTACACTGAAACAAGCTGGTAAAATGACATGTACCCCTGTTGATTGAAGAATGGCGGGCGTTGGTGCAGAACACTCATTTCATCCGTCATTGAGATTGAGACTGACGGAACAGACACTGTATGCCGTTAATCAGAAGACACATACACAGTGTATGATATGAGAGGAGAGGCACTTAGCATGCTGACGCTGAGCGACAGAGATGACTGATTAGTAGAAAACATCAATTGCATAGTATTCCACATAGCACACGTACACAGCAACCAGTGTATCCCAAGATAGTGCGATTAGGACATATTCCAGTCAGTATAACCTGCTGATCGCACTTACAACACAAGATGCATACACTGAGATACACGACGGTCATGAGGGACCAAGGTTGCCTCTGTTCACGAATATTTGTATGTTCATGTCGTTAATATATGGAAAACGGGACTCTGCTCACCCAGACCAGTTCAACCTACAATTTTTAGCCACATAACGGCTCTGGTGATGAGCATCAGCCTGCCCCTGCCCGAGCGTCAGTGCTTGAGGAGATCAGCGGTTCTTTGACACTATCTGGCCCACCCCAATCGTACATCACCCCAGCGGAAGCGGAAAATGAGAAACCGCGACCAAGGTCATAATAAAGACAGTCAATATCACGCGACTGGCTCTCCAGAGTCTCCGCGAACTTGCGAAATAGCTGTAAATATTATAAAAATTGATGACCAACTGGGATCATTTGAGACTAGTAGGGTCAATATGTAAGAAGATGGGTCTGAGGGAGCGAGGAACTTGGTGAACGAATGATTGGTGTTCGTGCAGAAGGCAATCCCGGGGCAGGAGTCGCTTGAATCAAGAAATATTTTGATGAAAACAGAGCGCGCAGATACGTAATAAGTCACGCTCGATTACTTGTGGGAGAGGGGTTACACGATTACGTTAGCAATCCTTTCGGCACACTATGTAAGGGTGTAGTAGTATTACGATTCCATTTGCCTCACCCAACTGGTCTAGGACTCCAGGACTCCACGACCATCACTGACTCCCCATGTTAGCGCCCTCTCCAGTCACTCCTGGATGAAGACCAGTATAAATTGATTTTCATCGTACTAGTATTCGATTCGATGTTATCAAGGTACCGCCATTGATATTCGGTCGTCAGACCCCCCAGGGCGCTTATCTCACTTAGGCTTCAGTGACTACATATGCCCATTGTCCATATTTCTTGAGAACACCTCCGCTGTTCGCTCGTCGCATAATGTTCCGGGGTATAGTAGTAAGATATTTGTCCATTAGATCCGTCACAAAAACCGATTGCTCTGCCCCTCCATCCCCTTCGCCATCCTCAGCATCACCACATTCGACGACAGGCTCGAGAACTACGCCAAGTAAAATCAGTCACAAAAGCTGTGGAAATCACCCGCATATAAACAACTTACCCCATTCCCAACGAACACTTCGGCCTTTTCCGCAATAGCCATATCTACTGCCATGGCCACATGCTTTTGCTCCGAATCGAGTACGATATCGGTACTGCTCACCAAGTCATCCCACCCGTCCTCCTCAAGCGCGCCCTTCAGACCATCAAGGCTCCAGGCCCATTCATTGGAGAGCACATACACCCGTCTCAGCCCAGGATACTCTTTCCGAATGTCCCTTAGCCTTTCCACAACCTGCTCCGTCGATGGCCAGCAATGATCGAGATAATACGACAACCTTGCACTCGTGTCATTGACATACGGAGATCTATCGAATCGATCTGGGAGCGATGGATGCTGATTTATACCCATGTAATCTGCGCCCCACTTTTCGAGGTTCGGACAATGCCGTCTATAATCGCCTCTGCGGAGGTGCAGCGCGACCAGCCCAGCGAGCGATTTACGGGAATGTGCATCGTAGAGATCTTTAGCAGACTCTGGTTGGAAGAGCGCAAAATTTCGCGAAACCGCCGCATGCACAAGCGGTGACCAAGCGAAGTCAGTCAACATAGGCGATTTAGTCAAGGATTCCCACAGAGAGAGAATCCGTGGATTTCCGAAGAAGCTTGACGACCAGTCAGTGATTCAACCCGGCACTTGGTTGGAGACGACTCACTGGCTGTCAAAAACGATATGGGCAGAGGAATCTATTTCTATACACGGCTCTTGCACGTTTGTGAGCTGGTCCACCCACCAATCAATCATGACAGCACCGTCTGCATCGTTTGGGGCGTTTAGAGTGCTGATGACGTGTTTACGACTTTCAGGTCCACAGACTTGCGCGTAGAACTCGGCGCTCACTGCACGGTATGCATTCGGTGCGCTAGGCATTGGTCCTCCTGCGGTTGGCCCAGAGATGAGGGCGTTCAAGGGTATGTGTGCGGGACGCAGAGCGAAGTCATAAATCGTCCATGGAAGTGGTAAATGTGACCACGTATAGTCCTCGAAGACAAATGATAAATTGGACACGTAGGCGAGGTAAGACATTAAAATTCTGATAAGAGCGATTAGCCACTTATGAGACACGATGACAAGAATGGCACGCACGCTTCTTGAAGAACATTATTGAACCCGTAACCCCACAGGTGTCCGGGAAATCGTAGGTATTGTGGCTGATTTCTAGGTACCAGAGACAAGGAGTGCTGAGGGAGACGTTGTTCGAACGTCCGAATATCGTCATAGTTTGGTGGTATACCCTGACAGATGATGGCAAGTAATAGGAACACCGGGACGAGGGTGACGGAAATTAGTACTCTTCGGAGGGTGAACATGCGGATGAAGTTACGCCATGAACAAGGATGTCGACGGCGGTAAATGGTGGTGCGTGGTGCTGAGGGAGATGATGTGAGGAGCACATACTCCTCCGGTCTGAACGCCCAAGACAACGCACCCCGCACACTGCGGGGCATCCAGCCCACGGTCTTCATCGATCGCGCTGGCCTTCGGATATGGTGCAGTACCTGGCGGGACAGTCAAATGTTCACCCAGAAAATTGTGCGGGTTGGCGGTTCGCGGGAAGGAAGGTAAACAGGTGGATGAGGAAAGCTCTAGCTGAAGGTGAGAATACTGCGGAGAAAACATAGCAGAACCGGAATATGTGGTTTTGAAATAGAATGCATGCACATAAACTTGTTCACGGTTCAACTTGTCATTCGTGCCAGCACCGTGGATGCGCGGTCACGCTTGCAGTCAGTGCATGCACTCAGCCAATCTCTAATCAGGAAAACCGTAATAGACGCTCTGTCCAAATTTAGCGTACGACAATGCGGGTTTGTTCCCACTGTCAGTGCCAGTACTCGCATGAATCGTGAGGAAGTTGTCTTGACGAACGTTTCAGCGCTGAGTCTTGTCTACTGTAACTGACAGGCCTGGACCAGGTTCGCCACCAACGACAGCGGCATGCCTGCGCGTAAATTCCTTTACTTTAATCCCCGGCAATCGTCGCCATCAACAAATACGACCGACTCTCCTTTATCCAACGCTGTCGCACAAACTAGCGTTACTACTGACGCACCCACGCCAACCGCCACCGACAGTCAGGTGCGTGTCTGTTAATTGTCGGCTGCGGAACGAGTCGAGAACGAGTCCAATTTTCCCTATATTCCTTGTTATCATTTTCCGCAGCAATATTCATCTCTGAATGCAGGCATCCACGATAACGACCCTAGCATTGCCCACCAGCCTGTCTAGTAGCACCCAGGCTACCAACATTAATGGCATCACATCATCAAGCATTCCTTCACCTCAATCGTCGTCCTCTTCCGATATCAGCACAACTTCTTCGTAGGCATTTGTGGCATCTTTTTTGGCAAACCATCTAAGGAAAATTACTCCAACTAGGTCAGCGCCGCCTGAGTTAACGTCGTCGTCGGTCACAAGTCCAGAAACTTCGAGTTCCACACCCACATCTCAACCACCTACTTCTACAACCTCATCCGCATTATCTTCAACCCATATCTCGGGCACCACTACTACCGCCACTACCTCATCATCATCACCGTCACCTATCCTCCAAAACAGCCCGACTTCTACCACTCCGACTCCCACAAATGGAGGCCAAACAACGTCGTTCATCACCTCATCTTTTGTCACGGTCTCAGGTTCATCTACCTTCACAGTACGTCCCAACTTTGTTATTCCTACTCCCTCTAACACACCATCAGTCCGCAACTGTTATCCCTACGGTCATCAGTGCAGCCACCAACAACAGCGGCGCAACCGATCGCACTGCCATTATCGCTGGCTCAGTGATTGGCAGCGGCGTGCTCCTCATCCTCGGTCTCTCCGTCTTTTTCTACCGCCAACGTAGACGCTTCAAACAATTCCACTTCCTCGACGCCATCAACTTGCGCCGACGACAAGCCCGTGCCAGAGCAACACTGCTTACAGGTGAAGACATCGAAGACGTTGATCTCGCACGTCCGCCCCCAGGAAGATATTCCGACTATGATACCCCCTGGGATCCGCGCGATAGCTCGGGGTCGCTCAACGATACCGAGCGCGGCACACTCATGGGCCCAGCGGTGCGCGGTGTCGACATCGACTTGAGCCACATCGTCGACGACGTCATGGGCCCTTCATCATCAGGCGTGCACTACTCACAAAACTCCTTATCATCTGCCTATCACGGCTTGTCAGGTCACGACGAGTCCGAACCGCAAACTAGAGAGATATCCAACGCATCTCAAATTGCATTACTAGAAGCTGCAGGGCTGAATAGCGCGGGAGGCCCCAGTATGCAACCTATACGGCCTAGCCCACTTGGGAAGAATGATCCTGCTGTTACAGGTGGCAGTAATGCCCCGTGACAATGATATCCCCTGCGCCCATCTATATCTGTTATTATCATTTGTTGTACAGCATTTGTGCTGTGATCAAGGTGGGTATACAGATCCCTATGTATCTATAGCAAGCTGATCGGCCAATTCTACGTAACCCGATGTATGATCAGATGATCGCGTTCTTTTTATGCATATATGCTGATCTTTACCCATACATAATGCTTGTTGTTTCGCTTTCATCGCATATATACTATTACTACTGCCATGGTGGTTCATTTTGGATCGTCATTGGACATCATAGATATATCTGCCTATACTTATCTGTCAGGGGGGTTGGTTATAATCACATCACGGACACTTCGCGGACTTTATGCTTAGATTCTTGCGCTCCCTCGTTATGCACTCCTAGCAATATTAGTATTGTTGGCGGTGGACGCTGCTAATGGCACATTTTGATTCCCAACTCGCATTAGAATCAGTCAAATACAAGACTTGATCGATCAAGCTAAGTTGAAACGTTGAAGCTTTGAGTACTCACCGGTACTAGTTGGGCACTCCACCCACGAGCCCCGTCAACCGATTTGAAATATAACCGGAGTACTCACATTCGCATGGCCGTATGAAGAGTCCATCAAGCAAGATGTATTTCAGACACGGGCAATAGGGACAAGAGGCTGAAACGCATACGCACATCATCGCGAAACAATGTGACCTGCATGCTGTTTTGACAAGATACTCAATGACGTACATTTCCCGACACCATGACAGTAGCGGTTGCGCTTATACACTACGGCGTCCTTGAGGCGTCCTTTTTCATATTCTGAATGTATAGTACAAATCAAACGTATATATGACATGTCATCAGCTCCCCAACCGTTACAAAAGACATAAAATACGAACCAAGATGGAAGTGGTGGACATCCAGCTCGCATTGCAGTGACACCCAGGTAGTCACAGCGTGGTAGAGTCCCTTGTTGAAATTGATTGTGTGAGAAGATGCGAGGGATCGAGAAGGCTCCTAAATAGAGGCATCACGAGGCCAAACAAAACGCCGGATTGAATCAGACAGCGCCATCTCTGTGGATCAAAATCTCATTGCGACGACAGACTGGTGCCGCCACGAATGATTAAGATCAATCAGACGACGGCATTCACAGACCAATGATAATGACGACAACGATAGTAATTATGAGAGCCACTCGGAGAGTAGCACCGAGTCAGAGGATCTCCAAGACTGGGATATGTCATGTCCAACCCTCATGCCCCAGGTTCTATTCAACGTCTTCAACTATCCGGTGACTAGGAGGTCGGTATCCGGCCGGTCGTGCTAAGACAGAGGTCTGACAAGAGCTAGAAAGCTGCTTGCTGCTGCTTCCTGTATGTGATTTTGATGGTGATGAAGAGGAAGCAATGATCCTGAGAGTAACCCTGGGGCCAAGACGCAAACCGCCGCCAAACATCATAGTGGATAGTAGTACGTAGACAAGGGAAAGAGTGAGGTGAAGGAGCGTTCAGTGGTACGAACTTGATAGCAACCTGTAGAACCGGCCCTTAAAAATGATCTTAGAGCCGTGGACGCACCATGATGTGGCGGTTGCGTTCAAAAATTCACAGCGTAATCATTGCGGAGTAAACAATGTAATGGGTGGTATTGGTCGCGTAAAATGCGAGGGCCTGTTTATTGCTCGTGGTGGTAGAAACTTGCTATGGAAAAAGAACGGGTGGACTCGTGCACAATGCGACCACTAGCACTGCGCACTGACCACCGTGACGGGTCAGTAAACGCATTTGCTAGTGCAGACAATATATCAGTGACTATACGAACAGAGGATCTGAGTCAGTACTGATTTGTCTCACAGGCATGACATACTTACGAGTAACGATAGCCTAAGGAATGCGATACCGCATGGACTCGGAGTATATAGTGCCAAGCTGGCACTTGTGAATTGACGACTCGTCCGATTCCTCGTTCGACATCCCGCAGACCATCATATTACCATGCCACTGCCCATGAAGGTGTGGCATCCTACTAGTACCTACATAGATAACTTATACTTCGAGTCTTGACGGTGCCTCGGTAGACATCGGTGGTGGTGCAGACATGAACCTGCCTAATACGTAATAGTCAACTCATCCTGAACCATTTCGAGCATTTCGCTTTTGGTATTCAAGTCGGCTCAACGGCCAGCATATATAGTATACGCGACAACGTCGTTCAATGGCTCGCAACGCCCGAAGGCGAGCGGATTGCCCTATACCCATACTCACGAAGGAACGACTATCTTGCTTCTATATGTTATGGCTAGAGGAGAATCAGAGTTTCATGCCTGCCGACGAATGCTAAATTCTCCAAGTCAAGTCATTTGTTGAAACACAATATTGATTAATATAAGTAATACTACAAATGATCCTACAACAAAAATCAGTCCTACGACGGAAGAGTGTCCAATAAAAGATTGAGCAAGGCAAGGAAAGCTGTCGCTGATGTACACGCCAAGACAAGGGCAACGACCCACGCAGTCTTAGCTTGTGCGGCTTGAGCTGCGGTTTCGATGATCACAGCATACGCTGCGCCGTGCCTGCTAAACACGCTGGAATTACAGTAACATCTATCGTAGAAGCTAGAGTACTGAAATACACATGCCATGATCGCCAAAAAAAAGTTTATAATGGCCAACAGTTTGCCCGTCCATCGCAGGAGGTGCGAAAGCTTTAAAGCAGCACTGCGTGCAGATAAAACTCCTCGAGCACGAAGTGGATCAGCTGTGGAGTAGTGGGCGAGAATACTGGACACGAGAAGCATCATCCAAATCAAAGTCGATATGGCTCCGTAAAGGAGATAACCGATAGATCGACACCCCATTTTCTGTCAGACATCAGCCAACTCGACCACACATCTGGTATACCAGGAAGAGACTCACTGTCGTAGGAGTGAACCACCCTACCAAAAATGCCGCTCCGACTGTTCCCCATTGTAATCCAAGCGATGCGCAGGAAGCGATGGCCATTCTTGTGAACACGCCAGGTGCCCAATGGCTGCTCCGCGTCTCGTTGGGTGGTGTGCAGTACATGACGACGTCTTGGGGGGACCCGTATCGATTTCTGTGGTCGATGTTTTGGGTATCATCAATGTATTGGATAGTCTCGATGTCGTGGGTAGAGTCGGAGCATTGGAAACACTCCATTTCATGGGTACTGACGGAAGTGCCTGGTTCGACCCAATCACTCCCACAAATGGGTTTATGACTATGAGCCTTCTCTGATGCCGCTTTGAACACCAGGAAGACAGTCTCTGCTGTAGATGCCCATCGCAGCGAACGCGAGTAATTGAACACCGGAGGGGTGAGGAGTTCGTCTGGAGACATCACATCCTCCTCCTTAGCAGTTATTGCCAATGCTCTCCGGGATGATGCTGGCAACCTTCCTACATGAACGTCTGCTGGTCCTGTGTGTATACTGTGTCGGTCTGCGCGGTCATAAGCCGCTTTTAAGCGATCGAAATCGCATTTGGGGGAGAGTTGTAGCCATCCAACGACTACTGGAATCAACCACAGCCACATTGAGCCAGTGGCCTCTCCATTAGATTGGACATCTGCGTAAACGTTCGATAGGGAGTTGGCTACAGTCAGGATATAGGCGATAATGACCCATGCAATGGAGGTTGCCGAAGCAATTGACCACGTATGGGTGTAGTCCACAAATTCAGCTAAACATTTCCACCAGGAGTCGTTTTCCGGAAGGACAATGAGAGAGGGCAAGCGTACGGGATCAGGGTGGAGTCTTAGCGGGACTTGCTGAAGGCTGCTCAAGATGGAGAGCGCAAAGCGTGAATTAGGGTAGTCCACCGACGAATCAAATCGGCGCTTGATCCAGCGAGAGTTGAGGAGAGTGATGAATAGAGAGTAGCCGGCAAGTGCCGGTGACCCAACGGTTAACACGGCAGACATGAGATTATCAAGCCTATACTGTGCTCCGAAGGGGAGCTGCGAAATTAATGCAAGATTTGGCAGCAGCCACGCGCTGAATTCTTGCGAAAATATAGCCCATTGGAAAGGCTCCTGCCCAGTCCCACATTGGGAGGCGCACATCGAGTAGCTGATCGAAGTTGCATTAGAAGCGTTCGACACGGGATTTCCGTCACCGTCGAGCAGGCCAGTTAAATTCTGGGTGGTATTTGCATTCTGAATGATGTCGGTCAGACACTGAGCGAAGTCTACTGCCACGACACTTCCGATGGCGTGCACCAGTAGCAAAAGACCTAAGCCCAAGGAATAAATGAGAAAAGAGGAGCCCGTAGTCCACTCATTCCACTTACATGCCTGAGAGCCCTTGTGCAAACGCATCTAGCGGTATTGGCAATGGAGAAGGGGAAAAAAATAGGCTATGGATGTAGATTAGGACACTATAAATTGGTCCACTTACTAGAAACAGGTTTCTCTCCACGATCCGCCTTTAATACGCTAGTGAAGGCTATTTCATAACAGAAAGAAATGTGGTCACATAGCGGACGCGTAATACTTTGTTCGGTGACATCCATTTCCTGGGATAAGTATATTAAGGCCCGCCTCATCATGGCTATGAAGATCTGAACATACGATAGTTCCTGTTTCCGCAAGCCAGCATCCACCTCAGGGAAGGCGCTGGTAGTAGTTGGCTGGGAGATGCCGTCCATGGAGTCATGACCCTGACAAAGTACCGATAATTACCAAATCCGAAACGCCGCTCACGACGTGGCTGTGCGCGGGGTACCTTCTACTCAGCCTCGGTGTCCCAACTGGCATGCGCTGAGGCTCCGATACCTGATAACGCTTATTGAGGCTTATATGCGTACCTGGGTCCTGGCGACACACAGCACTTGTATAATTCAACTGGAATTGAGTTTCGAATCGTAGATATAGACTACATCCTGTGCGACATAGTGTCGTCCATCAGGAGCATGTCGGCCTCGTTCGTCGGACAGCTGAGATACTCCCAGGCCTATCTTGACTTCTTCCTTGTATGTGTGTCTACGACCGATACAGTGGATCAGAGTAAGCGGCCACGGGTAAGATAGATTCAGACGTTTGAATTTGACAAAGCCGTAACACACAAAACCTAATATAATTATAAAGTGCAAAAGAACGTTCACTAGCTAATTCGTTAGATATTTAATGGTAAGTCTAGCTAATACTAGTGTGGTATATGATCGCGGTCGGAGACCTCATTATATAGGTACAAGATCGGTTAACAAACTCATGTAACAAATAAACCCAAAGGCTGTGGAGCCACCCAAAGCCAATGCCCCAAACCAAGCGGCTTTGGTTTGATTCAAGTCTAAACCATCGGTTACAACGATGTCATATGCATATTGGGCCCCTCTTCCCAACACGCTCGAGTTGCAGTAACAATTATCATAGATGCTCGTAAACTGCAGCATCCCTGCCGCGATTATCCAGAGTGCATTGAGGATTGCCAACGATTTCCCTCCCCATCTCAAAAGGTTCGATAGTACCCTTGCGATACGGGTGGTCATGGAAGATAAAGGACTCCTTGGTCTGTCTGAGTATGACGATGCGTAGTGCGAAAAGATGCTCGACACAACAAGCATCGCCCATATTGTCGTTGCAAGTGCGCCATATACGAGGTAACCAAGAGATCTACAACCAAGGCCCTGTCATGTGCCGCTAATAAGCAACGGGTGCTGATAAATGCATATCAAAATACTTACCACAGTCGGAGTAAAATACACAACCAGCACTGCAGCTCCAGTCGTTGCCCATTGCAAAGCTAGGGGCAACAGCGAGGCCACGAACATGCGATAGAACATCCCGGTCGCCCAGCGGCTCCGTACTGCGTATCGAGGAAGTCTGCAGTAAAGATCGACTTCGGACGGGTTTCCAGACCTGTTGGGGGGCTCAATAGTATTCCTCTTGATCGCATTTATCCACGTGGCACCAGCGGTGACCGGTCTGTGTTGTCTGGCATTATCGGAGGCAATTCGAAACGCATCGAAGACGTCCTCCGCCGACCGAGACCATGATATGGCCCTGGCATAGTTGTAGATGGGTGGGGTTAAGATTTCGTCGGGAGATGATGGTTTTTCGACGCTGGTTTCAATGGATACTGCTCGCCTTTCGTTCAGGTCTGATGCCTTTACGACTCCATGATTAGTGACCACAAATGCCATCGCATCTGCGTTGTCCATGGCCTTCTTAACACGCATATAGTCGCACTTCGGGGATAACTGCAGCCAACCTATAACGATTGGGATAAGCCACAACCACACCGACCCCGTCCCTTGACCGTTGGAGTTGATGTTGGCGTGTACATCCGATAGCGAGCTGGCGACCGTCAAGAGGTAGGCAATAATGACCCACGCAATGGATGTCACAGACGCGATAGACCAGGTATGAGTGTAGTCGAGAAAATCAGCAATTGTCGGCCACCAGTCATCATTCTCTGGCAGGACAACGAGAGAGCTGAGCAGCGAATTTTCATTTGTGATTCTCAGTGGATTTTGTTGAAGGCTTATAAGGATACGGACGGCATGGTCGGTGTTAGGGAATGATAGGTTCTCGAATTGACGACTGATCCATTTAGCGTTGAGAATGGTGATAATCATCGAGTAACCAGCGAGCACCGGTGAACCGACTGTGAGGATGGCAGACATAAGATTGTCAACTCTATGTCTTGCGCCGAAAGGTAGCTGAGAAATGAGCGCAAGGTAGGGCAATAGCCACGCGCCGAACTGCTGCGAAATGTTTGCCCAGGTGGGATTCTGTGTTCCAGTGCCGCACTGCGAAATACACGTCTCATAGGTGAATCCAACTGCGCTCATGATGTCCGACGCCGGTACATTTGCGCCATTGGCATACACCAATCCAGATGGATTGAGAGTCGTGTTCGCCGCATTAAATTGAAATTTGACAAAGCAATCGGTAATGTTGATGTTGCTGGCGTAGGCTCCTTTGAGAAATGGGAGCAGCAGTAAGAATTCTCGGATCTCTGGGAGATTAATGGTGAGCAAAGTCATTACTACGAGCCATCGAACTCACTCTTTGTGTCGCGCATAATCAAAGTTAAATTTTACCAATATGGCGCCTAGAGATTTATATGAAGGACGGTTCTTATGTAGTTTCGTTACTGCGTCTTTGGTACCCGATCCGAGGGCGCCACAGGCGACGCGATAAGACGGAATCATTCCCCACCAACCAATTTCGGTCTGGAAACTCTTATCTCCTTACCTCAACCTTACCTGGCTGTCCATCAATTCATTGAGCGCTCATTTTGAAATAGCGCACAGGAAGTACTCACTTCAGAGTTTACGGAAAGCTCTAGGCGTAAACCTAACCGAGTCTTCGCCGCAGCAGATAAGATGGCTATGAATCTGAACAATGAGCCCAATGACCAAATATTGACTTCCAAAGCGGCTTCCCGCTGTTCCCAGCGCCGCCTGTCGCTATCATAATTCAGGAACCCACCACTGCCATCGAGGAACAGAATGAGTATACTGCCTGCAGGAGCAGCAACAAGAATCCCAGGGTTGTGGATCAATACTATCAGTGGCGGAACCATACTACTGACGTGACACAGGTGGCCAACTGCTTGTGACAGGTGGTGATCGCCGATAATTGCTGTGTGGCGTCACGAGGCTGAGGAAGCATCAGAACCCAGCTGCACAAACCGGGAGCGGCACCCAGTGGGCCAGCTTCAAGTAGCCACTGGGTTAAGTTCTGATAAGTTGTTGTTGAACCAGGCACGAGCTGCGAGGGAAACCCAAAGGCCAAACTTCCATGACGGGAGGCGACGGGCTCTACCTATCGAGGACCTACGACAACCTACGAGCCCGGACTTCAGCCACTGCGCCAGGACCCTTGGCACTCCCGCGGTGGACATCTGCCAAACCAAGCCGGAGCACAATAATATGGAACCAATCCTGAATTATTTATATTACGGAACTAGTAGCCTTGCGCTACATTACTTATACTAGGGGAAGACAAGCGAATTAATGACCACGGTCCGCTACTCAGTCTGTGAGCCGTGATGCCATGGTCTTCCGTAGGCAGATCAGCCGAGGGAAGGAAGCTGTTCCTTCTGTGATGGTATAATACAGTATACTTGCTGGGTTTCTGCCGTGGAAGGACAGTGCTCAGTGAATAAAACCAGAGTCTCTAGGAGTCCAGCGCACGAACGCGAATTAACATGATCAAGAGGTGGTGCGATATCAGAGAATACAAATTCAAATACAATAAGTAGTTCGAAGGCAGTGCCTTGAGCGAATTTGATGCGGGATGTCATACAGCAATCGAAGCACGAAGCATTGTTACCCTTACAGCTGAGTGCTGATGCAACCCGTGGGCACCTAGATAAAATGAACTACAGCAAGTAGAGAATCAATTAATCAACGCTTACAGCCGTCATTGCTAAATGGGTCAGACAGGCTTTCGCGATTAATGTATAAATTTACACGCGGGGAAATGTATTTGATTATACCGTCTCATTGCCCATCAGAAGATGCTATTGGCTTTGACGGCCTGAGACATACTGTGGCGTGATGAGGCGGGCAAGTTTGTCAGGCACGTTCACGCTGATGTGGGACCCGGTCAGATTCAGCCAGTGCACGTTGACCGTATGTCTGCTTCGAGGAAGGGCAAACTTCACTAACATTGGAGCGCCTAGAGGCAAGTACCAAGTCATTGATTGACAGTCTGGAAGAGGATCCTGAGGCTAGGGTTTCTAATAGTGGTCATTGCGATGCATGTCCTTTGTAGGATAGCACAATATTTTAGCCAGTGGCTGACCCTGACGTCGTCCATTTCGGTAGTGACATAGCATGCTCCGCGGGCACTGCGGGGAATGGCCAACAACCTTCGCGTGGACTAACAGTGACTCTTTAGTATTTGAGATTACACGACCAAGACTGTCGCACGAGCGAAATCGTAGGTTTCCGAGCGACACGATCGCACTAGAATAAGTTTATCCAGTTTAAATCGATTAGCAAGGTATGTTCCTCAGATATAGGGAATTCGATGAACATACACGAGTGCCATTGAGTTAACTGCGACCATGAGCCCAGAACGATTGCTATGCGTCGCATGACCGTGGTGGTGTTGGTCAACACACTCCAAGCGCCACCGCGGAGGCATCCGCAGTTTGCCATGACACCAGCATGAGTCATAGCAGAAGAGCTTCTTGTACGTCTAGAAGCGAATCGATATCAAAAGTCTCATTTTGGGCCGCGCCCTGCGATATAGCAGGCTGCTGACATCGCGTGCCATTGATTTTCCTGTGCTCTGGCAAATTGGCGACAGAAATACGCTGTAAGGCGTCAAATTAGCGAAATGGCAACGAGATGTGAGAAGATACACGTTACAGTGAGTTTACGTCCAGCGGCGACTTCGCCCATGTACGAGTCTTAGCATACGGAAGAAAGGCACTGCCATAGGTACTATGTACGTGACTCCGTTCAAACGGCACAAATGGTCTTCCCGGGGCAGTGGTTATTGTGACTAACTGCAAAGCGGGATACGATCACCGAGGGTCCTTTGTGCGAGAATGCGGCGAGGGATGTCGTAAACATCCTTGAGCGAATGCGTTGAAGCGGCAAAATGATTCAGATAAGGACTCACATCATAAAAGAACCCGCGGGCAGTCCTGCGCGTTATGATCGCGATTGTGAGCGCGGAACAGTGTGCTGTGGGTGTGAAATTAGGAATGATGCCACCAAAAGAGGAGTATGAAAATCTGATTTAGTATGGACGGGGTCGGCGTGATGATCAATTTGTGTATTGCTAGAAGTCAAGACTCGATATGATGTGCGCGGGTGAATGTGCGAGATAGATAAAGCGACTTTGCATGCAGGCCGTATGATGGCGATGAGCATGTAGTGTGGTATGACTAGGGGATTTTTTCACTGGTTTGGACTCCCTTTCTGACTTGCTATGAGGAACTGTGGATTTGTGAACGAGACTTTCGTCGGCGGACCATCGCGATAAGCTGGCTGTCCTCAGAAGTCGCCATGCAGTTGATCATCTTGGTGACTTCGGAGCGCTCGAGGGCTCGCCGATTGCTTCGAACGTGATGAGATCAAAGCCGGCATTTCGTCAACGGACGTAGTGGCGAATTTAGAGCGATTTGATGGTCAATGAGAGAACAATGTGTTCCACATGTACGTCAAGCTGTGTGATGAAGACTTCGGTGGCAGCATCGGATATTCGAATGTCGTTGTTTCTACTGACGAGATGGAGATCATCTGATCGGACATCTTGAGCAACTGCAAGAAGTTGATATGCTCCTCGGTGTGTTGCTGGTTGGCTCCCGGCTGCGGAGTATGATAGCGAGTATGCGGCATGCCTCAGCGCGCAATTGGAGTGATCCTGGAAGTATTTCCCCTGCAACACACGCACCGTTTCGTCAGAGTTCCTACACGATATCTCGTATTCAGAAAGATAGGGATGATTAAAGAAGGTCGAGGCCATGCGCGGGGGGTTCCTGCCTGAGTGGCGACCTAGTTGATTTGGTATGTAGAGAACAAACATGAACCCACAAGTTACCGTAACTTACCTGACTTCATGATGTGTCATCATTTGACAATGTATAGTACATACTCATTGAAGATACTCTCTACACTAGACATATATCTGATGTCTAGAGTCGCATTGCAAAGTAAAGTACACAGCCATATCTTGATCAGGTTCTCGTGCGAGTCTGGGATAGCCAGTGTCCTAGATGAAGCTAGATGATTACACTAATGCATCCATCGTTACTTTTGGTCAATCAACGAGGGATATATCATTCTGCTTGTATATGGTGTGCCAAGGCTGCATAGGAATCGGGTATTGCTGTGACTCAGCCTGCGAGTTTCTCCGTTCAGTTGAAACGTGATCTTGATTGTTCTGACTGATCGCGATGCGAATAAACACCATGTAGAAGGCAATTGAAATTGTCGGGATGATCTAGTAGAACAAAGCTCAGTTATTTTCAATATCATGTGTTAACAACAGAATTACCAAGTCTCCCATAACATACAGTCCTATGTTCGAGAGGGCGAAACATATTATTGAGGTGCAGAGCGCCACAAAGTACAAAATAGCAGCATCTATGAGCACGCGCAATATAGGCATTTTGCCCTTCGTAACGCGAACTGCAGATACCTTTCGTTCGATCATCCAGATGCGATATGCCAGTAATCCTGCACATTTTAGGTTGGTATGGGTCCAACATTGCGCTAAGGTAGAAGTGTGCTTACCAGTACTCAACACATTAGTAGCAAGTGTGAAGGCGAGGAACAGCACGATCCAATGTCCAGTCTCGTTGGTGAATAAATTTTCGGTATTACTATTAGTAGTTGATGCTTGCGAAAAGTCATAGACCGAGCAAACTCCAAACACTTCGAGACAACATCAGAGCGCACAATTTTCTGAGTGTGATTGAAACCTAACCTGCAACACCGCACCACATCATGCATGGGAGGATGATAACCCAGATAGATTGCCAAACGACATAACATCGATAAATCTTTTGTCAGAAAGGCAGATTCTATAAGCTAAGGGGTGAGAAGATAACAGATAACAAGACCCACCACCACCCCGTCGGCAAGCAGAGTTTGCAATGTGTAGATTGCATTATTGGTCACAAACGTTGCTTGGGAAACATCTGCAAAGAACGCCGCTGACCCGCCCGGGAACGAGTCGCGATGCTTCACCAGTCCATCTTCGACATGAATGATGCCAACGACCATGTGCTTCGGAGACTTCAGTAGATGTCGTTGGATACAATGGGTGAGAAGCTAACTGCAGTACTCAGCAAGAACAGCAGGGTGGCAACCACAGCAATTGGCCGATTGACGTCCCGGATGCGATATTTGTAGGTGAATGTCCAGATGGTACCTATGAACATGAGGACTGAAAAGCCTGAAGAATGCTAACTTGGTGGGCACGGCGGACAAACTCATGGTGATACTGACCGTATAAAACGCTTCCCAGGACCGATGACATTAAAGCGGCGGTATCCTGCGCGATAGCCGTCGGAAACATGGCCGAAATGATGCCTAGGGATGTATGAGATGTGGATAGTGGTTTCGTTTGGATCAATATCATTATATAGCAGAAATGACTCAACTAAGAAAATTTCCAACAGATCTTGAAACGGGATCCTGGTCCCTGGATCATTGCTCTCTGACAGTGATTCAGTTGGAGAATCCCACCCTGCGGCTCGATGTGCTATACAAAGTTAGTGTATTTTTGAAACATTGCATACTGCTGATCTTGATGGTATTTTCTGATGCAATCATAGTATCATGCATCTCGCAGGTCGCAATACCTCACCGGCCTTCCTGTTTGTCAATCAGCAGTCATTCCAGTCCATGATACGAATCAGCCTATGGCAGACGATTTCGATGAGAATGACTCATGCCCATCGGTATGTTCCGACCTTCCAAGTATCGAATCGAAAGTGTAACTGTCGACGACGGTCTTACCTGGCCCGTGGGTGCGGTGATATTGGCAAGTAGCTCTTATTGATAGTTCCTAGAACCTTATAGACATCGATAAATTCACAGCTTCCACAAAAGTAGGGAACAGAAGCTACGGGGAATGTGATCGCAAGTTCCACATCGGATGAGATAACGAGCACTAGGATGTAAACACTCTCACCATCATCGAGAGTGGTAGATGATGTGCTTCAAGGACAACGGGAACCGAAATTTGCTTCGCATAGAATGTCCGCACCATCCGTGTGCCAAAGTGGATGAGAAGTAGCAAAGTGGATTCAACTGCGAGAGCGGACCAGGGCTGTCAGCAAAATAGTTGGATGAACAACATCCGTCTACAGCAAGGTACTAGGAATGATTAAATTGCGAGCTGTGCGTAGAGACGCTATTTGACTAGCTTACTATACAGTGCTGAGTGACAGAACATACATAAGTCCTGCTCGCCTGAGAACTATCCCGCTCACCGAGACAGAATACAAGACTCAATGGCACGCAGACACAAAGACAACGCCCCCACCTATGCGCGGACCATGCTACTGTGCTCGAGAGCCATAAAGAACGGGTCAGAGACGTAGCTGTCATTCCCAGCACCGGTATTTCTCTCGACAAAAATCTTCGGGTGCGGGATCTAGTCAAAGAGCGACTAGGCGGAGAGCCTTTACTGGGTCAAAACGACGGAGCCTGGACAGTTGCAGCATCCCCTGATATACGTTTGATTGTGTGTGGAGGGGACGACGGAAGTATGGTGGTCTGGGAAGTAGTCACAAGGAAGTGTGTCCGTTTCCTTCAAAGGACATGGGAAGATCAGTATCGTGATTTCACCAGACAGCAGGACCTTTGCAACTGGATCGGAGGACCATTTAAGCGGTATGCGTGTGGCAGAGGGAGACAGGCGAAATAGTCCTCGACCCACTCGAGATCGGCAGCTGGGCATACTCGGTATCGTACTCCTCCAAAGTTGAGTAAATTAGCATCAGGCAGCGGGGAGTACATTATCGTCCTGAATCTAGGAAATGGGTAGTCTTCGTTGGTCAGTGGAAACAAGAAATTTCCGATCTTTTCCGATGCTGTGACGTGTCACGAGTTTGAGTCCACCGTGACACAGACCACTTGAGCATCCTGGTTGCAGTACTGTCAATTGCTAGTGCATGACTTTTTAGACAGCCAGCCCGTCATGGCTGGTTGCAAGGATGGGCACGTTTTCATATGGTTGGTTCCTCAGAGTGTGTCTGGGCAGGTGAGCAAATTCTTCAGCCATGCAGCATGAATTATGTAGCCCGCACCTCACATATGTCCGCTGCTATACTGACTTCTATAGATCAGTAGAGTGGACGTCTTACTGGTTCGTCCATATTAAACATACTATTTCACGTCTCTTTGCATCATTTTTCCTTCACTCATGCAGGAGACCTTATACGCTTGCAACGGTCGCGGCCGACATACGGAGGAATGCAATGTCAATCATTTGATAATATCAGTCCTCACGTTGAATCGGCTAATGGATGACTGAGTGCGTGTCCATCCACCCCACCGCTCCAACTACACGGTGTATGTACTATGACATCCTGATCTTTCACCGAAGTCGTTATCTCACCACCCAACGATCGACCATCTGATCGAGGCTTCACGCGCTGTGCCATCAACCATACTGCGTCGTTGTGAAAGCAGAGACATGACTCACTGCCACACTAGTAGTAGCATACAAAGAAGATCTACGACGTCGGTCAGTTCAGTGGTTTTACTCACAAGACACAAGCTACTCATACTCACACAAAAGGCCCCATCAGCGCAGCCTGCACACTGGCTACTAATAATGCAGACGGTAGGACAACCCTCACTGCCCTGAGTGCCCTCACTGACAGCGTCACTGGCAGATACTGATGCTGTCAAAGCAGCAACAGCAGCGAGGACAAAGGAGAAACGCATTGTTTATGAGGATGTGATACTGGTATGGGGTCAAATCAATCTGAAGTGGACAGTAGGAAGACGCCTTCCTTGCTTTTATGTGCTGAATATAGCCACTACGGTGATATAGGATGAACCTGCCCACCTGAAATCCCACTTCGAACAGATGATATCTGCAATTCCAGCGGATTGCCACCTAAGATCTACCTTGTGAAGCAAGGTCTATTGGTAATTCAGTATGGAGCGAGATGCCGCATTGTGCAACAATGTTGATGCCAGCATATTGCCACCTATTGAAATCTACCTTGCGGAGCGAGGGCTATTGGCAATTCATCAAGTTGGCATGGAACACAATATCACCCTAGGATGCGAGGTCAATGCTAGCTCGCATCAAGGACTGGTCAGCCAAGTTCAGCTTGTTGCTTTGGGGAGGGACTGCCTCATTAAATGCAAGAAGCCTACATGACGTAGCAGCCGTCGCACATCCATGTCATCCTGAACATAACGTGTAGGTGTTCGTCAGTACCAGATATTTATCAAGATATGACTCTTACACGTGCTTATCCTTTCCTTCTTACATACACAATCACTCCTCCTACCATGCATCATACACGTTCCCTATTGATTCTCCGTCTCAATCAACGTATTAATTCTTCCTCTCGTCGAATAATCTCCCTCAGTCTTTCGATCCAAGACTGAGGTGAGCTTTCTTATTAACGACTCTACTCTACCCTTACTAACTACTACCCTACTAAGTCCGTTCCCGTCCTTAGGTATGATTCATAGTTAATCATCAGTCTTTCGATCCAAGACTGAGTCCGTTCCCGTCCTTAGTTCCCTGGTCCGAGTCTCGTCACCTTTGATAGGTTATGAGCCCTGACTCAGACTAGGTTTACATTCGTTTCTCGCTTCCACTCACCTTATCTGAGCTCCTCCGACTTCTCCCGAACTGGAACAAGGTCGCCCTCTATCCCCGCTTGACCCGCGGATTTTATCCATCCCCTTGCCGCCATCGCCGCCATTGACGCCCATCATACCAGCTCGCTCGTTACCAAATCCACTTACTCTTCCCATTCTACTGTCGCCATCGCCGACACGTCATTCTACATCAGCAATGTCCACCATATCGTCATCCAACATTCGAATTCCAACATCTTTTCCTCATGCTCCTCTGGACGCCAATGGCTCCAACTACACCTCGTGGGTAACATCCATGGACCTTTGGCTCTCGCTCTTCAATCTTTGGCGTCTCCTTTCTGGTGACGAGAAGGGTCCTCAGCGCCCGACCAAGAGCTCTGCTGAGACGGACAATGATTTCAACAAACGTCTTGCGACGCACGACGCGAGCACGGATGTCATCTCCTTTCGGGAACGACAAAGTATAACCAAGGGACTACTTGGTATGGCGGTGCACTCAAGTGACCTCATCCACTTCACGGGTGTCACTGATCCGGCCGCCATCTGGAAGGCGCTGGAAGATAAATACCAGGCGTCTGTCGGCATCCGCTTCACGGGCCTTATGGGTCGCATTTTTGACCTCCCCAAAGCATCTGATAGCGACTCCCTTACCAAGACCATTAAGGAGATCACGGACATCAAAGCCCAATTCAAGGTCATCGAATCCATCGAATGGAAGTGCAACGAATATACCATTGTCCAAGCGCTACTGCGTGCCCTTCCCGATTTCTATGCGCCACTTTCCCAGCTCATACTCCATAGCGCTGACGCCAATGCCGGGAAGCTAACGCTGGAAGGAGTAATCAGCCAGATCAGAAACTCGGAACAATACTATGCAAGTTTTGGCTCCGCAAACCCGCATGCGCATCACACAGCCATGGCCGCTAGGGTGACGAAAGCAGCAGGTAAACCTACCGAACGTGCCAAGCCGAAGGATTTTGACGCCTCCAAGGGGGATAAATGGGAATTGTCGTGGCGTTCAACATGTGGGTCTTGCAAACGCACGGGCCACATCTGGCACAACTGTCGTGCTCGCCTAGGAAAATCGGACGCACCCAATACGTCAGCATGCATCCCTTCCTCACCCTCACAGGGCACTGACATATCGACCCTCACGGCAGGACAACCTAACAACATCCCATTCTTCCTTCGTCTCCCTGCGCATTCTGCCAGTTACTCTAATACGAACATTGTTTCATTCCCGTTCCATGTAGACTCAGCCGCCACCGCACATATGGAATCCAAACACTCCCTCTTCACTCGTTACAGAACCTATAACCCTCCCCTAATCGTGAAGCTTGCCAATAATGATACCGTTCTTGCCCCAGGATGGGGATTCATCACGCTAGCGCTCGACAACAGTGGGAAACATGAGTTCATCGAACTCCCCTTCCTCCATGTACCTGACCTACGGTGCACACTGATATCTGTGTCTGCTTTAGCTGTCGGAAGGCATTTTCTTTCAAACGGATGCTGAAGGGGGACAAATGCATCGTGCTGATAAAACCGTGATCGCACGTGTGGAGTGTTCTGCCGGTTTATACTATCTACGGGCCAAGCACACCCATGTGGCCTTTGCCAGCAGGTCCACCTCGGCTATGCCTTTACCACTGGCTGTATGGCACGCGCGCATGGGCCATGCTGCGAATTCCACCTTGCGAAAAGCAGAGAAGGCTGTAGTGGGATTGTCTCTTGATTCCTCAGACAAGTCCGCAAGATCTGGTGACCATATTGACTGCCCGTCGTGCCTAATGGGCAAGCAGAAACGCTTACCGTTCCCGCCTCATGCTCGACACCGTGCGACGCACATCGCCGAGCTCATTCACACTGATGTTTGGGGACCTGTCAACACCGCAACTCAATCTGGCGAAACGTATTTTGTCGCCTTCACAGACGATTTTTCACGCTTTTCGACCATTTACCTCCTTAAGCACAAGAGCGAGGTACATTCTCATCTTATGCGATATATCGCTTGGATTGAGAACCAGTCAGGTCAGCAGGTCAAACGTCTCCGCAGCGACAATGGCGGTGAATATGTCTCTCATGCTACCATCGAGCTTCTGCGCAGTAAGGGCATTGAACATGAGCTTACAATGCCATACACAGCAGAACAAAACGGCGTTGCAGAGCGCGGACACCAGACGGTTGCTACTCGAGCATTGAGTGCTCACCACCAGAGCGGTTACCCTCGTTCGTTCTGGGGTCATGCGATCCTCAACTCAGCTTACATCAAGAACTTCCTTCCGTCGTCAGCCACTGACAATAGGACACCGTTTGAACTCTTCTATGGTGAACTACCGAATGTCTCGCACTTACGTCCATTTGGCTGCCTCGCCTATGCTCACATCCCAGACGATAATCGCAGCAAATATGAATTTGTCTCTAGACGGTGCTTCTTACTAGGGCACGTCAAAGATGCTGGATACCTTTTGTGGGACCCGGCGACACGACAAACGGTACACTCCCGGAATGTCCATTTTGATGAAACCATCTTCTACGGCACACCCAACTCAGTCGTTTCCCCCCTTGTCGAACTATATAATCAGCGCACACTAATGCAGCAGTCCACTCGCGCATTGCCTCAACCATTGTCAATATCAGAAGACGGCTTCAAAATCACACGAACTGGACCTCTAGAAAGCGGCTTCAAAATCACACGACCTCGAGAAGACGGCTCTGAGATCACATTGTCAGGACCCAGTACCATTTCAGTGGGAGCACTTCCGTTATCCACTCCTCTTACCCTCGAACCCCCACAGCCATTCCCGCAGTCAAACGACAATGTTCTGCCAGTTCCCGTCACTACTGAACTTCCCATAGAAACGGCACCACCTCCTGAGCCACGACGTTCGACACGTCAACGCATCGACGCACGACCAGCGGTTCCAAAGTCTGTCGCCATTCCGACCAAACATATTCCAGTACAGCGGCGTTGGACCTACGTCCCCGTCACTGTCGAGGAGGAAGTTGATGAAGAACAAGATTGTGTTACCACTGCGACCTCCAATGTCATCATCGAACACTCTGCAAGACACGTATCCTTGACGGACGACAATAAAATTGACGGTCGGAAGCTTCCCCCCAAAACGATATCTGCAGCTCGATCATCAACGGATTCAGGTCATTGGGAAAGTGCGATGAACGAAGAGTTAGCCTCGTTGGGAGAAAAAGGAGTGGGTGTCTTAACACCACTCCCATCAGGGAGAAAAGCAGTAGGCTCACGGTGGGTATACTCGCACAAATATGACGAGAATGGTCAGATTGCCCGTCATAAGGCCCGTCTTGTTGCACAGGGTTTCACGCAGATCGAAGGTCTAGACTATACCGACACCTTCGCCCCTGTCGCAAAGTACGATACGGTACGAGCGCTACTCTCTTTGGTTGCTAAGTTCGACCTTGAACTTGATCAAATGGACGTCAAGACCGCTTTCCTCAACGGCGACCTTGACGAAGAAATCTACATGCGTCAACCACCAGGTTTCGAAGATTCTGAACACCCAGACTGGGTCTGGAAACTTCTCAAAGCCATTTACGGACTCAAGCAAGCTGGTCGTCAATGGAACAAGACGCTCGACGATTTCTTACGAAAAGGAGGCTTCGATTTCGTTCGCAGTGAAGCGGACTATAGTCTGTACGTCCTGCGCAAGGATGACAAGACCATTTGGCTACTTGTTTATGTCGACGACATGTTGCTCGCGTCAAATTGTCGTGATTTCCTTAACGGTTTTAAGTTGGAGATGGGCAAACATTTTGAGATGAAGGATCTTGGCGAAGCGCGTCATTTTTTAGGGATGCATATCACGCGTGATCGCTCCAAGAAGCTTCTAACCGTTAACCAATCCTCCTTCCTCGAACAAATCCTCAGCGAAACTCAGATGTCGGATTGTCGACCAGTGTCTACCCCCATGGTCCCAGGCATCTCCTTGACGAAGACGTCTGTACCTCTCACTCAAACCGAAGTGCAACAATTCGCTCACATGCCGTATGCTCGTGTCGTTGGGGAGCTTAACTTTGCTATGCGCGTTAGTCGTCCAGACATCGCATACGCAGTATCGACGCTGTCAAAATTTTTAAGCAACCCTGGCATAGAGCACTATCACCAACTCCACCATCTCCTTCGTTACCTCCGTGGAACCACGCATCACTCGCTGACTTTTGGTTTATCCAACCAAGGACTCGTTGGGTACTCGGATTCTGACTTCGCATCTGACAAAGACGACAGCCGTTCGATTGGGGGCTATGTCTACTACCTTTTCGGCTCTCCCATCAGTTGGCGTTCCCAAAAACAATCCGTCGTCGCGACCTCGTCCACTGAAGCAGAATACATCTCCCTCTCCAATGCTGCCCGCGAGCAGATTCATCTCAGTCAGCTACTATGTGATTTTGGTCTTGACCTCTCGCTCATCACCCCCACCACGCTATACGGCGATAATAACGGAAGTCGCGCGCTAACGAAAAACCCCCAATTTCACGACCGGGCAAAGCACATTCGCGTTCGTTATCATTTCATTCGAGATCTAGTTAGCGATGGGACCATCATCATCCCATATGTGCCCACACATGATATGATTGCCGACATCTTCACGAAATCCTTGCCACGAAAACTTTTCCGCAACCACCGTCACTCACTTGCCCTCCGTTCCCCTTCAAATGAAGAATCAGCTGAATAGGTACACACGCGCCTCTAGCGATTTGCGTCTGAGTGGGAGTATCAAGATATGACTCTTACACGTACTTATCCTTTCCTTCTTACATACACAATCACTCCTCCTACCATGCATCATACACGTTCCCTATTGATTCTCCGTCTCAATCAACGTATTAATTCTTCCTCTCGTCGAATAATCTCCCTCAGTCTTTCGATCCAAGACTGAGGTGAGCTTTCTTATTAACGACTCTACTCTACCCTTACTAACTACTACCCTACTAAGTCCGTTCCCGTCCTTAGGTATGATTCATAGTTAATCATTAGTCTTTCGATCCAAGACTGAGTCCGTTCCCGTCCTTAGTTCCCTGGTCCGAGTCTCGTCACCTTTGATAGATTCAAGCTGTGGCAGCATGGTAATACAGGGGCAAGAAAAGACATCGAGGTTGAGATAAAGAAGCGGCGTGAGATTCAAGGAGCTATAGCAGATGGTAAGTAATACGGAGCCAGAGAAGAACTGCGGACAAGCGCTTATATGAGATGGGTTATAAGGAGATAATTCGAGCTATTCACCACAGACCACATCTACAATGCAACCCTATCCCGGGGACGAAGACCCTTACGGCGGTGAAAACCCTCACTGGGGTGAACATGCTGGTGAAGAAGGCCCTTACGAGGGTGAATACGCTGGTGAAGAAGGCCCTTACGAGGGTGAATACACTGGTGAAGAAGGCCCTTACGAGGGTGAAAACCCTCACTGGGGTGAAGACCCTTCCGAAGGTGAAGACATCAACAACGAAGAAGATGGCGATCGTGATAAATACGAAGAAGGCGGCCCTTATCATGGGGGCGAAGGATCTCCCGAAGGTGGAGACACCGACAATGGCGAAGATGGTGATCGTTATGAATATGAAGAAGGTGGCCCTTATGGGGGCAAAGAATCTCCCGAGGGTGAAGACATCGACAATGGCGAAGATGGTGATCGTAATGAATACGAGGAAGGTGGCCCTTATGGGGGCAAAGAATCTCCCGAAGGTGAAGACATCGACAATGACGAGGATGGTGACCGTGACCAATACGAAGAGAATGAAGAAGGCGAACATGAAGATGAAGACATAGCTCAAGACGAAGAGTCCGAAGGCGAAGATGGTGAGCCACACGGGGACAAAGGTGGTGGTGAAGCTGACATAGCTCCAGACACTGACGATGGCTCTGGCAGTGATGATGGCTCTGGCAGTGACAGTAGCTCTAGCAGTAGCTCTAGCTCTAGCAGCGACGATGGACGGTCATCATATAATGTGAGCTTTACCTTCAATGTGTCTGCTTATCACGACACTTGAGCTTCCTTCATACAGATTGTCACAACTGTCCTAAACCTGAATACTACTGAGGTGCGGGTGGCACAAGAGAACAACAACAACTATTCCTATTCAAGTTCCAGGTTCCAACCACCAAACCGCGAATGGCCCAACAACGATAGCAACAACAATGACCCCCTTCCCAGGCGCCAACCACCCAACCGCTCGGGGCCCAACAAAGGTGGAAACGACAACAATAGTCCTCATCTCAGGCGCCAACTACCAAACCACCCAGGGCCCATAAAAGGTGGCAACAACAGCGGTCCCCGTCCTGGACGCCAACCACCACACCGCGAGAAGAAACAGGAGACTGACGAAGCCAACCAATTCAACGGGCAATCGTTATATAATGTCAGGGTGAGTTTTTGCCTTCGATTTGTTTACTTGTCACGCAACGTGAGCCTCCTCCATACAGATCCAAGTCTTCCCGACTGTCTGGAATGCATCCGTTGCTGGCGATTTGCATACTGCTGAAGAGTTGCTGACCCAAGAGATTCACAAAGATGGCAACAACGGTAATCCCTATGCCATTCGCTCAGTTGTCAGAGCGCGAAATTTCGAATGGGACAATGCGCTTCAAGATGCAGTCAAGGTCAGACATTCTGCCTACTATTTCTAGGCTGTTCATGACATATATGTTGCACAGTCAATTGTCATCCAGCCTTCATTATGGGGTTATATTTCCAAGGGCATCGCCCTCTGTGGCAACGAACAGCTCTGGGATGCGATGGAAGCTTTCGACCTAGCTATCACATTTTCGGATCGTGATCCGATTACCATCGATCTTTTACTGTTGATCAAGGTACTCTCATTGTTGTGTTCATAGTCTGTCTGTTGTACTAAAACTTCGATGTGATTTCGTCCAGGCTGTTGCACTTTTCAATGCCGGTCGCTATCATGAGGCATTACGGCGAGTTCAACGTCTTGCCATCGCTGACCAACACTCGGGTGCACTTCAGTGCGGCGTGGTCGATGTGAGCTTTATGTCTGACCTGATGGACTTTCTTATTCTGAAACATATCCCTCAGGCATATCTACACGTGCAGCTGGCAATGCATACTTTCCAGAATGAACAGTACAGCAAAGCCGCCGATGAACTGACAGCCAGTATTACCACTGTAACGGGCTTGTTCTCGCCCGCAACACTTTTGGAACCTAGATGGAAGATATTCACGCTGGTAAGTCCTTGCAAAGCTGTCAAGGACAGTTCTACTTATAGACGATGTGCGCCGAACAGCTCTTTGGCTGGGACCTTGACTCCTTATGGCAGACTGTCAACCAATGACGATGCGATGCATTCCTCCGTGCAGATCGAGTGACTGAAGCAGTCAAATATTTTCAATATATGATGAGCATGATTGATGACAATGCGAAGAGTGGCTGCCCCGAATGGTCTACCCGTGAGTGTGCTATTATCTCGGATGACTTGAACATCGATATTCATCCTAGTATCGATAAGCATTCAAGCAAGACTGCACTGCACGATGTGTCGCAAAAGGAGATGAGGCCATTGCCGTGAGCGACTACGAGATGGCTGTTGAACTGTATTCAGCTGCGATCAGGCTGGATTCCGCACATGACTCCCTTTTTGCACGCCACAGTGCGGCCTATTTGGTGCAAAAAAATTATGCGGAAGCCCTTGCTGACGCCGACATGGTGCAGACAATATTTATCATGTTTTCTGTTAATTGTGCTGATAATACTAATACAGGTCATTAAACTCAGTCCCGCTTCTCATCGTGGGTCCGAACTGAAGTATGCAGCACTTCATGGCGCACAACGCTCGGATAATAAAGCCAACAAGACTTTCGAAAGCATGCTCTCCAAGTTGAAACTTATAAATGCTCCCCACCAGCAGATACGAGGTAAGTTCCGAGTAACTCACGCATCACCATTCAGTCAACTGACTCTTTCTCTCCAGCGCTGCGTCAGCATTATACTGAAGCAGAAAACGCTATTAAAGGGGTCATTGATACTCATCTGGAAAAAGCCCCACTTCGTCTACTCAACACTTCCACTGGGCGTTTATGCAATCAAGATGCACAGAGAAATGCATTCATGGAAAGCGGCTTGATGGCTCGACCTTGCCCGCAATTTTATGCGTGGGAAAAACTGACCATGGTGGTGGTTCGGAGTCAGGGGCCTCCCTCAAAGGTACTTTTCTAATCCTATAAAAGCATTGCAACACAACTATAAATGATATGTAGCTATAGCTTTTTACTGGGCTTGACGCCGCACTGACGAAGCGCTGACGCGGTGGAGCGGAGCGACCCAGCGGGGTTCGGACGGATCGGTTTGGGCAAGAGCAGAGGCTGGAGGAGTAGAGTGTCAGGGGTGTCAGGGGCCTAGGGAGGTTCGGGGTCACGACAGTACATACACGGATGTACAGCATAGCACACATCATCATCAGCAGCTTTCCGGGTTCTCTCCAGAACGCAGTGCTGACCAGTCCAGCGGCCGTGACACATCATTGACGAGGCACTGACGTGGCGTGGGGCGCTTGACAAGGTAAGGACGATTACACAATGAAATACCCCGGATTAGATCACCATTAAAACAATACAGGACGGGCATTCTCAAGCTTCACAAATGCGGAGGACGAGCATTATAAATGTGCAGTGAGAGGTCCATTTCAGCACTCCAGGGCCTATACGCCAACGCCAACGCCGATGGAGATCCAACATTCAATATTGGAGTATTCGTTGTATCCAATGTGTTTAGAAATCATTTCAAGCGATTAAAATTCATTGGCGCACAACCGTGGCAGGCGCGACACCACTCGGATCCGCGTCATTTAAATGGCACAGAGTCCTATCGTGCCAATATGGTGGATACCAAGCATTTCATCGATTCGCTTGCCAGCGGGGATCATCACATCCCTTACACAGCAGTCTATAAGTAACTCCAAGAAAGTCAGCGAATACTCGCCCAGAAACCCTTCATAAACTCCTTTGTATCACTCCTTGTGGAATACAACCTGAGACACGGCTTGCAATGACACACGTCGCAGTCTCCCCCACCGATTTCGTTACCGCACCCAACACTCTCCACGACGTAATCGCTCGAGCTGTTGACCGGTATCCGTTGCACGAGCTTGGTTTCATAACCTCCTCGGCACATGACTCCTCTATTCACACGACGACCTTCAGCGCGTTCAACCAATATGTTCGCAACCTTGCACGTGCCATGCTCGACTGGGGCAAACCCACAGGCTCAATTATTGTCGTATATTTGACAGAGCACGAAGATAACATGGCTGCTGTCTGGGCGTGTCTGTTGGCTGGTTATTTTCCCTGCTTGCAGCCCACACTTAGCGCACAACAGGCGCACAAGGAGGGTCATGTCGCCCATATCAAGGACTTGTTTGGATCTGCAACTTGGCTGACCAGCAAGCTTGGGGCTGAGCAGATCAGCTCCATTCCTGGTCTGGAGGTTCACCTACTCTCCGAATTAAAATCATCGGGGCAGAAAATTACCGTTGCAGCTGACTGGGTTGCATATGAGGCTAAACCAGACGACGATGCCATCCTGTTCCTGACCTCGGGCTCAACTGGGTTCTCGAAGGCAGTCGTCCACACGCACCGTACCCTCCTTTCTGCATGCCGCTCCCAGGGGCAACACTACGACCTGACCTCCGAATCTCGAGTTCTTAACTGTAAGGCGGACATCACTTGAACTGTCTTCTGACATTGATCATGACATTCAGGGGTCGGATTTGATCATGTCGCGGGATTGTTGGAATACCACATGACACCTATGCTATATGGTGCTTCGCAACTCCACGTGCATGCATCTGTTGTTCTTACCGATCCCCTTCGGTTGCTCCGTCTGATCGACGAAAAGGTATGCTGACACTAAACCACATCTTAACGTGTCTCCTATCATTCTATTTAAGTCAATCGAATTGACTTACGCTCCGAACTTCCTGCTCGCCAAGCTCACTCGTGATCTGGGGAAGCGCGCCGACCTCTTCGGGTGCTTTGACCTGTCCTCTTTCAAGCGGATTGACAGCGGAGGTGAAGCTAATGTTTCCAAGACCGCGCAAGCCTTTGTTGCTATGATGAAAAAGTTTAGCAAGAACCCCTCTGCGGTGTCCTTGGTCGTCGCCGCTGGGTTTGGAATGACAGAAACTTGGTAAGGACACTTTAAGCATATTGAAAGCTCAGCTGATGGGCCTTTGCAGCGCCGGATGCATTTACAACTACCCGGTGGATGTCCTCGCAACCGAGCCTGTTCGCGAGTTCCTTGATCTCGGGCGTCCCCTCGATGGTTGCGAGATGCGTATCACGGATCCCGCCGATGGTGTCGCCCTGCGCCCCGACGGGGAGAGCGGCGAGCTTCAGATTCGTGGGCCGATGGTATTCGTACGCTACTACAACAATATCGAGGCTACATCCTCTAGCTTTGTCGAGGGCGGCTGGTTTCGCACTGGCGATGTTGGCATCATCGAGAATGGTGTCATGCGCCTTAGCGGTCGCATCAAGGACACCATCATCGTCCATGGCGTCTCATATGGTATACCTGAGCTCGAAACCCACCTCCAAACCGTTGAAGGGGTCACACACTCTTTCCTCGCTGCAGTTCGCTACCGCGCTCCGGGGCAAGAGACCGAAGGGTTCATTGTTTTCTACTCGCCAACTTTCGACCTCGATGGAGCAGATGCCGCTACCAAGCTCTTCGCCACGCACCAGGCCCTGCGGGATATCTGTGTGAAGATGATCACGCTGCCACCTCAGATCATTGTTCCAATCCCTGTGAATCAAATGGAGAAGAGCACTCTCGGAAAATTGTCTCGTGCGCGCCTCATGAACATGTTCAAGCAAGGCCAACTTGCAAAGCACATCGCCCATTCTGAGGAGCTGCTCAGCAAGGCACGCGGCGTTTCCTTCGTTGCCCCGTCCACCGAAACGGAAAAGGTGTTTGCCAAGATATATGCTGGCATCTTTAACATCCCCAAAAGTGAGGTGTCGGCGAGCGACAACTTCTTCGAGATCGGCGGTACTTCTATTGATGCTATCCGGTGAATATACCTGTTTCCACCTTCAAACGACCTTCACTGACATAATCTCCAGGCTCAAGCGCGAAGGAGAGGAGCACTTTGGTCTGCCTGACATTCCTGCCATCAAAATCCTGAAGCACCCTGTTCTCTCAAGCCTGGCCAACTACGTCGACTCCTTGTTCTCCGGGGGTGCCCAGCCTGAGGAGTACGACCCTATCGTTCCCCTTTCAGTGACCGGAAATAAGACGCCAATCTTTCTTGTTCACCCTGGTATCGGAGAGGTCCTCATTTTCGTCAATCTTGCAAATTATTTCCAGAATGAGCGTCCCTTCTACGCTTTCCGTGCTCCTGGCTTCGATACCGGCCACCCCCTCTTCACCTCCATGGACGAGATGGTTTCCTTCTATGCGGCAGCAGCCAAGAGGGTTCAGGCGAAGGGGCCCTACGCCATCGCGGGCTACAGTTACGGTGGTGTTGTCGCGTTTGAAGTTGCCAAACGGCTCGAGTCCATGGGTGAAGAAGTGAAGTTTTTCGCTCCCATCAACATTCCTCCTAATATTGCCGGCCGCATGCGTGAGATCGATTGGACATCTTGCTTGCTCCACTTAGCAGCCTTCCTCGGTTTCGTGTCGACACATGATGCTAATGATCTACCTCCTTCCCTGAGACCGCTTCCAAGGCAGGAGCAGCGTGATATCGTATGGAAGAATGCGCCTCCTGAACGTATCATCGAGCTCCAGCTGACGCTCGAGAAGTTTGACATATGGGTGGACGTCGCCGAGTCTCTCATCAAATGTGGACTAGACTACAACCCATCAGGCTCAGTTTGTAAGTCGTTCGTTTTCTAACCTTAGAACCACTTGCTCACATACCCACTCCTCAGCTGCAATTGATGTTTTCTACGCCACTCCCTTTGCTGGATCCAAGATTGATTGGCTCAACGACCAGCTCCGTCCATGGTCTGACTTTAGCCGCGGCGAGGCAACATATACTGATGTTCCCGGGGAACACCACACGCTCATGGACTTGGAGCACGTCCCGCAGTTCCAGAAGATGTTCCGCAGTCGTCTCGAGGCTCGTGGGCTGTAGACGTTTGGAGGGGCATATTTTGCCTTGCATCCATGATCTATTCAACTATAGTAGGAGTGCATGTATTTATCCTTAATCTTCTCAATTTGTTTGTCACCGTGTACTAGTATACACTTGAAATCCCGAACTCCTGGTGAAAATGTCGATCGGACGAAATGTCCAGCCTTGTATACGGCTGCGGGAGAGCAGTTCGTCAATGAAACTTGCCGCAATGTGGCCAAGGGTCATCGATGAAATCCACATGCTAGCTGAATGATCTATACACGGAAGCGGAAGCTTAGTAGGCAGGTCCGTCATGAGTCAGGAGGGATTTCTACCAGAGGGATTGATCCTGGCGAAGACTAGGAAGTAATCGGTCAGCTTTGCAATCGCAATGAGAGACTTGTGTTTCAAATTTGGTGGATTGATAGAGGCACGAAGGAACGCAAAAGGAACTGTTATAGATCTTCCTTCGATATTAT